CATTTCCTGTGTCCTAAAATACCCCTCTATCACCTAGCCTCTGCCTGGCTCTCATTTCTCTTCCTGGTTCCCTTACTTCTTTGATTCCAGTTCACATTCATTGTTATCTCCCTCCTCCCAGACCCTGGCTCTCCTGTGGGCTTGGCCGCCTCCAGTGCTGCAGGACTGGAGGGACCAGAGCCAGGCAGAGTCAGATCTGTGCCTGCTCAGGCAGGTGCCCAGAGGGAACTGATGCTCTAGTGTGAGCCTTAGGATGGGAGAGGCTGGGGATTTGACATTCAACTTGTGGATAGGTGTGGTGAGGTCCAGGCTAGAGAAGTCCGCTTGAGGGCAGGTTTTGGTGCACATGTGTTTTCTCCCCTTTCTGGAATTCAGATGGAATGGGGTTGTGATGCTATGTGGCTCATGTGAGCAAATCACACCCACTCTTCCTTGAAAGGAACACTTCCAGGGTGGAGTGGGAGCCAGGCAGAGACAGGCCTGAGCCTGCAGGCACTTTTGTCTCTTTCCAGCCCCTTCTCCTGGAGGGACTCTAGGCTCCCAGGTGGGCCCACCAGGCTGGCTTTCATTTGTACAGTGGGGCAGGTCCACGCACCTCCAGGGTAGTTCTGAACACTAAGGGGGATGCAGAACCTACCAGTGTGGTTGGTGGCCAGGAGGTGTATTGCTACTTCCCAGCCACCACTATCAGCTCTTGATAAGATGGAGATTCTAATGGATCTCTGGCTTCCCTGGTTGTCATGGAGATGAAATGAGGTAAAGGGATGAGAGAGGTGCTGTACAAATGCCAGACAAAGCTGGCAGGCTTGTTCTCAGTGCTCAACAGATACTGCAGGCTTGATCCTCAAAATCACCTTTTGGCTTTCCGTGATGAGGCTCAGAGAGGTTAAACCATGTATCTAATGTCACACAGCTTGAGCTTGCAGGGCAGAAATTCAAATCAGGCATGGGGGCTTCAGAATTCTGCTCTTAACCACCACAACCTTGGGAATGTTCCCAGAGGGATGCCTTCCAAGGCAAGGGCCAGCTGGGATAAGGAAATTGCACTTGGCTTTAAATAGTGAAATCACTGAGGTCTTGTTGTGTAGGGTGGGGGTGGTAAATTGGTCAAGTTCCTGTTTGTTCAAACTTACTCAGAAGGCCTCATGAAGTCTGCCTTGAAGTAAGGAGACAAAGGAGGCAGAGGGTCCATTTTGACCCGATTTAGAGCACCTTGCTCCCCGCTGCCTGCCCCATCCCCTCTGAGCCCAGAGAGCTACATTTTAATTGCAAATCCTTTGTTAAGTTAGAGTGGAAATTTCCTCCCTTATGGACTGAGAATTAGCACAGGGGTATACATGAACCTGCTCAGTTCTTCTCCCTGACCCAAAGGCCACTGGAGACAGGGAGTGACACAGATTTTCTCCCCACCTCCAAGTTAAAGATGACATAAAAACAACCTAAAATAAAATCCTTCCCTTCCCATAGGTTAGCATAGGTTTTTAAATCCTCTAGAAAGAGGAAGATGCTCTGCTTCCGGCTTCCATTTGGCCCCACCATGACCCTTTGTGACTCCTTTCCTTAATCTTGAGTAAACTCTATTACCTTGCTTACTACACCTGCGTGTCCTGCCTGGATGCTTCCATGTAGGGCACAATGTACTTGGGAATCTTCTGATCATATTCTGCACTAGTCTACAGACCTTGTTTCAAACCCAGGAGGGTAAAAACATTCATTGTTCCTCCATCTAAAAAGATGGATTTGGGCTCAGGTAGAAAAGTGTAATTGCCTCAGGGTGGAACAGGGCAGAAGTCTGCTTAGCACACAAGCAGGGCTGACCCCACACCTTGTTGTGGGTCCCATGAAGACCTCCAGCTTCAGAATATTTAAGAGGGGACTCTGGAAGCTGTGAGTTGGACAAGCACCTGCGTGATTTCTTCTGAGAAACCCAAGTCCTGGGAGGGCATCAGAAGCCTTGGTGAGGGAGACTAGAATTAGGGAAAGTTTGGGACTGAGACCCCTCACTGAAATGCCTTAAGAGCTCCCTTATAATTACAATAAGTTAGAAAGAATGGAACTTCCTCCCTCATGGGTGGGGCACCTGAGAATTAACATAATTGTGTACAGAGTCTGCCTCACTCCTCCCCCTGGCTCAAAGATCAAGGGAGCCAGGTAATTTGGCCCTAAGGTCATTGGAGCCAGGCAATGACACCCCTCATCTGGCTCAGGAACCATCCATTCTCCTCCCCACTTGATGATTATTGGATGGGAAACCTGGTTCCTCCCTTCCCATAGGTTAGTGTAGGTTTTAAAAGTACCTGAAGAGCAGACACATGCTCTTTGGGCCTCCAGATTCCACCTAGCCCCTCTGTATTTCCCTTCCCTAACTTTCAATGAACTCCATTTACATCCACATGTCCTGCCATGGATTCTTTCTAATGAGGCACAAAGAATTTGGAAGTCTTCTGATCATAGACTGCACCAGTGCTGTTAACAATGGCACCTAGACATGGCTGGGTTAGTGAGGGAGTCTCATGGCTGCCTGTCCAGATCTGTTTTGCTCATGGCTGGTTAACAGTGGGAAGGGCCAAAAGGAGCTTAGGCCATTACAGGCAGTGTTGTTATTCTAAGGGCCAAGGAAGTCACGGTCAGCCTCCCCTGAGGGCGTGGGAGCTGAGGGAGGGAAGAGAAGATAGGCACACGGAGCAGCAACGTTTTGGCTCCAACTATGTATGGGAGCTGTGCCAGCTGGTTGCTACTCTGGGCTCCAGTGCAGGGAAAGGGCCAGATGCTTCCAGAATGGTGAGAGGACGTGGAGCTCCTGCTTTGGCCATCTGAGAACTTCCCCTGAGTCTTTCACCAGCTGCTCCATTCTCTGTCTCCTCTCCCAGCCTGTGTTGGGGTTGAGAGGACTTAACAGAAGGATCCCACTTTCAGAAACAGCCAAAGAGATTTCGTTTCTTGAGAATCTAAAGTGCTTTCAGGGAGAACATAAAAGGTTTCAGCAGGGAGTCCCCTCGAAACTGAAAAATGTGACAAAACTTACGGAAACTGGATCAAAGACCTTGGGTCTTCCAGCCCCTGATCTTGATCTGTGGTTTTCAATCCCCAAATCTCACACTTACATTTAAAATACAACTCAGTGTTGAAAATTAGACCACTCCTCAGGAGAAGTGAAGTGAGCTAGCTGTCTGGCATTCTCTTCCGAGCTCAAGTGGGTAAATGAATATGGAACAGTTTATAGGGTCAAAGGTTGTGTTCAGAATAATTCTTAGGACTTCTTAAAAATCAGAAGGAGTGAAAGGCAGAAATGAGGTCTATCATTCTGTAAAGCATTTCAGAATCTTTCCTTCACATCATAAATGGGCCTTTCTCCAGTGTGGGTTTGCCTGTTACTCCTCCCTGAAAGCTTCTAGTCCACACTTACTGGGAACAAAAGTTCCAACAGGGCTGTCATACAAAGTTACAAATATATCCATAGAGACGATCCTTACTCTTTCTGTCAAACTCCCACCCTTCTGAATTATTTCTCCCCTTTAACTTGAGCCCAGGCCATTTTTAAGTAAAGTTAGGTTTTATTCATTCTTTGGACCTGTGATCACTTAAGAAATATACAAAGTGTAGCATTAAATGGCTGAATGTATTTTGAAGTGGGTGTAACCACCTATTTACATGTATACAGGAACACAGGGTCTTCTAGTAGGTACCCTAGGTACTGCCTTAGAAAAGACATTTTTGAAAGTCCTCCTTGGTCACTGTTACCAGGGCCTAATGTGGAACCCAACACATTCTTTCTTTCACTGAAGTCTCACCTTCTTTGGATATCCCTTTCTGTCCCATGAATAGTCAACCTCAGCTTGTTTTGTTTTCTGGATCTGAACTCACAGAATGCCTGACTCTTATCAAAGAACAAACAAACAAAAAACCAAAGGCTTTAAGCCTCAGATATTTACAATAGTGCAGTTCTGCAGCAGGACAAGGACAAGCCTCAAGACTCAGGTTCAGCTTTGACAAGCAAAGTGGTTTTGCAGGGGACCCCATGAAGGTGCGGTCCTTCCCATCATTCTGTCCTCTGAACCCCACTACCGGGAGCCACCCCTGGCCTCACTGTGGTGCTCTGGGATGTACTGCCCCTCCCTCTGCCAACCCTCTGCCAATGCCAGCATTGTGACTTGGCATTCTTAAGGCCTGTGGATCTATAGATATGGCTGAGCTGAATGGTCATGCCTGCTGGAAACATCACCACATGATCACGTGTGCAAGCCTAACCTCTATGCAACTGTCTCAAGGCCTAGCTTCTTCTCCTCACATCCTGGGATCTGAGTGGGAGGGAGTCTACAGCAGATTCCTGCATCATTGGACCTGCTCTAGTACTAGTGTGAACCTCATGGGATAAGGCAGAGTATACATTGCGTTTGTTTGTTCTATCATCACAGAAAAAAGATGTGTACAAAAGGATACCCTATCTCTCCAGGGTAAAGCCCTTTTGCAGAGCTAAAGAGATCATTTAACATCTTCATAGAGGCAGAAATGGAAAGACGTTATATTTTCTAATTTAAAATCTTGTGTCTGTATCTGCATATACAGAAGGGAGATGAAGACCTAAAGTTGTATTGGATAGAAACAAATTTGACCTCAACAATCACCATATACAACATTATAAAAAAAGGAGTACTGGAAAGTATTGGAAACACTATTGCATATTAATATCCAGTTATTCTTGTTCACAGTGAGCAAATACCTATATATTTTGTTATTTTTTTTCTTGTGGTGCTGGGGATCAAACTCAGGCCTTGAGCATGCCAGGCAAGGGCTCTACCACCGAGCTACATCCCAGCCCTTCGTATGTGCTTCATTTTTCTGATGACTGTACGTGTTTAATTTTGGTTCATTTTTAAAGTTAAAAACACTAAAATGGATGGATGTTGAACAGGGAGAAATGGATTTGGTGTAGAGTTGACCCTTCATTATTTATTATTGCTAGAACCAAAGAAGTTAAGAATAGAGAAATATACGTGAATCACGATATGTCTACATAAATCCAGTTCATTTTGCTCTTGTTTGGGCAAGAAGATGTTACAAGAATCACAATGAAGTCAAAACAAATTGAAAGGAAAACAAAAAAGCACCAAAAAATAGGGAGAAAGCCATAAAATGAACCAGCATCTCCATAACCAGTAGCTCTTTTTCTTGAGGAAGATTATAAGATTGTTTAATGTGGCTGATTCTAAACTGGAAATGGAACATGCTGGTATCTGAAGCAGTTGGTGTTGGGATGGGCCCTTGGTGATAATGCAATGATAACACAATGATGCTTTAGTTCTCTTTCACTAGGACAAGCACAGGAGCTAAGGTACAACTTACAGAAGGAACCTGAGGCAGGAAGCAGAGGTCCAGGCATTCCACAGGTAGCCAGGGTGATGGGGAAGAGAAAGAATGAGAAACAGCAGTTGCTAGTTGTCACTAACAGGTCAACCTTGCTCTTGGTAACCTTCTTGCCTCTGGGATTTACTTAAAACACAATGACAGTGCATGGAATTGAGGCACACTTCAGTATACAAAAGTGCTCAAGACACACTCATGCCATCCCACAACAGAACAAACCACAGAACAAAATGTGTGAGGTCATGCACAATCCTACTTTTACCAGCTAAAAGAAAAACTTCAGCAACTTTTGGTACAGAATATGGTCACCTTTCAAACATAATTTAATTACTTGTTGACATAATATGCATCCTTACCTTAAATACAATAGTTTCAAAAAAGGCTGTTACAATATAAAACCACAACAAAAGGTGTGCAAATCGACATTTATCTTGGCTATAAAAGGCAGTGAGAGGAAGGGGCAAAGCATTTTAGAAAAAAACTCCCGCAGTCACTATTTACAGTTCTTCTTTAAGGTTAGAATGCCATGGCGGGGTGTTTGTGTGTGTGTGTGTGTGTGAACTCCCTTCTACCAATTGACTTTTGGGATGCATGGGTAAAGACAAGGATAGGTAAAATCGACCGGCAATCTGGAAATCTGAGGTTTTCATGTTGAGTGTGTAAATTTGGATATTGAATAAAAGCTGTTCACAGCCCTACTTCCTCCCTTCTCTTCTCTCACTCAATGCACTGGTGTGGCAGAGACTAAATTACTTCAATCACAATTTTGTATTTCCAGTTTCAAAAATGTCACACTGATCTGGAAGCAAAGAAATCCGTGACTCAGGAATGACATCTTTGTGAACTCTTTCCCCTGCAACAAAGATCAAGTGCCTATAAGGAAGTGTATTTGTGAACACTCGAAGAGAATAATTCATTTCTAGAATTTCTAGAATTTCTTTCCAAAGAAGCACAAATGCACCTAAGACAGACTGCTCTGGGAAAAAAAAATTCATCAAGTGCCTTTTTATCTTTGGAAAGCTTCCCAAACCTTCAATTGGCTTAGAATTCATTTAGATCAGTGGTTCTCAACTAGGAGTGACTTTGCTTCTTGGGGGATATTTGTCAACATGGAGAGACAGCTTTGGATGTGAACTGGGGATGCTACTGGTTTTTACTGGGTAGTGACCAGGGGATAATGTCAGACATTCTACAATGCACATAAAAGAGCCACAACAAACCCCAAATGCCAGCAGGGTGGAGACTAAGACTCCCCTAGCTTAGAGTAAATGCTGAATTGATCACAGAAAATATTTCCTGTTTCCTCAGGTACATCTTAGGGAAGACAAGCACTATAATATCTTACAATTGATCTTGAGGGAGACCTTTTTGGCTAAGATGAGAATCCTAACACCTGACTTCAGTGGGCTTCAGAGAGGTGTTTGTGTCTTCATGCAGGTGGGCTGCATTTTCACCTCCACCACCTTCTGCCTCTTTCTTGTGAAACCTGGTGGGCTTTCCTGTCTGGGAACCTCATGGGATAAAGAGTTCTCAGCTACATATCCTTCTTATCTGTGGGTGCACATGCTACTTTTGTCTTTTTGGTAGATAGTTTCAGAACATTTGCAAATTTAGTATGAACAGGTAAGTTTTTTTTTTTTTGTTACGAACTGGGATGCTTGACTTAATATTTCCTTGATTGAAAAAGAAATAGTCATTCTAACTCCTTCTTTTGTGGGTTTTCAAACAAGGACACTATACAGTGAGGGTAGGGAATTTACCAACACTAAAGGAATTCACGTCTGCAGCTACAAACAGAATATGGACTTTCAAAACGAAGGACTGAGATTGGACTGAGGCAAAATAACAGGTCCTGGTCTTGGGTAAAACCATCCTGGGCTAGGAGTAGATACACAGGGAAATAAGTGTAGAATTTAGAAGGAAACTTTGGTTTCTGAGGATTTTTGCTGTTTGGGAGGTTCAAATGAAGGTACAAATTTCAGAACAGGTATGGGTAACAGTGATAGGCATGGGGGTGACAAAGCAGATAACAGGACTCCCCAGATCTGTCCACAGGAGCTCTGAGCTCATCCCACCCATCAACAAACCTGGGGAAGCTGAGTGTCATCCATCAACCTCCCAATCCCTCACCGTCTCCCTTGCCCTGCCTGGGCAGCCCTGCCACACAACTTTCCCAGGCAATTTGTTTTCCAACGCAGAATACAACTCAATATTTTCTTTTTTTCAAAGTACAGCCTTTGTGCCCTGGGTGCAGGTGGCCTCTGCTTTGATGCTGTTCCTGCTTCTCCCTAGCAGGCACAACACTTGGTCCCATTGCTCACCTGCAGAGCTCCTGGGCTGGCCACATCTCAGAGGCTGTGCCCATTGCTTCTGGGGACTTGGAGGCGACCTGGTGCAGTGAACTCTGTTGTGCTTAGTACAAGGTCTACCTTGCTTTCAGGCTCTGGCTTATTTTATTGACTTCTTTCAGAAAATTCAGGCTCTGTTTGGAGAAGGGGACACTAGGAGGCCGCAGGTAAGGGAAGTTCAAGTAGCAGTCTGCAGAAATGTGTAGGGAGACAGAAGTTCTGAGTGCTCCTGATGCACTTCTGACCCTAACAATAGAAATCTCATCGTCAACAACAAATCAAACCCAACAACACCAAAGCAACCTACAAATCCACACCCAGCATTATCACAGTCCAGGTGGGGCAGCCGGCAGGAGGTCAAAGGCAGGGGTCCAGGTGCTTCAGTGGGCAGTGCCAGGGTGGGCTTTAGCTCATGTGGAAGCGGTGCTCCCCCCGTGTGATGTGGGAGGAGAACTCGTACCTGTCATGGCTGTGGTACCCACACATGTTACACTCAAACGGATCCCGGAAGCCATGGCAGCCCATGTGGATAGTGTACATGACATGGTCTAGGAAGAGCACCCTGCAGTGTTCACACTTGTATACCTTCACCTGCTCGCCGCTGGTGCTGACCACACGGAAGGCATCCTGCGAGTTCTCCGTGGCTGCCCGCAGCACCTCAAAGGCCTGCTGCTCCTCCTTGAGTACCAGGCCATTGCGGGCATGGGGGTTGATGTGGTTGGTCAGGTAGATGAGGCCACCACGCTGTTCCTCTGTATTGCTCTCGGTGTCCGTTGAGTCTTGGCAGCTGTTACTAGGGGACGCCTCCCGCTCTGATGACACAGACTTGGCCTTAGACAGCAGCAAGTTCTCCACAGCGCTGTCCTGTGCTGAGTGATTGGCCCTTGGGACACCCTCCATGGGGGGCTTGTGTAGCTGGTACATGGGGCTGATGACAGGGACCACCTCAGAGCCCCCTGGGGGTGTCTGCACCAGGGGACGTAGGGACTCGGCCCCCAGGTAGTTGATGGCATTGTTGATGGCCTGGTCCATCACATGGGATGTCATCATCTCGTTCTCTTTCTCATAGCTGGCGCTGCTGTCATAGGGCATGTCCGAGAGGCACTTGTCCCCTGTGGGAAGCAAGTCACGGTGAGTAAAAGTTATACCTGGGGGTGGGTGAGGGAGGATCACCTGGCCGGGGTTGTCCCAGTGCCTAGGCAGACACAAGCAGCACACCAGGGCAGGCTGGGACATCTCTGTCTGCTGGATGTTTGGCATAGTGACTGTCTAGTAAACACTCAAAGAAATCCCTCAGGATAAATCCATAGGTGAACAGGGAGGGCCAAGATTGTCCCTGTAACCTTTAACAATGGCTAAACCAATACTCATGTCTTTTATAAAGCATGGTAAAATTAAACATTATTATACTCAATTTAAATGATGTATCTTTAATAATGTCCTAAATAATTTGAAACTGCTTAATTGATCATAAATGCATTTCATTAAAATACATAATTATGGGTTGGTAGAGTGGCTCAAGTGCTAGAGTACCCGCCTAGCAAGCATGAGGCCCTGAGTTCAAACCCTAGTACTTCCAAAAAAAAAAAAGTTATGCTCTAATATTGTTTGTAGGAATAGATGCACTTTGCTGTAGTATGGATTTTGAATTCATCTAAAGCCCATGGATTAAAAGCTTGGTCCCAGGTTAGTGCTGCTGAGAGGTGGTGGTCCTTTTAAAAGGTGGAGCCTAGTAGGTCTTTAGGGAAGTTCCCTTCAAGAGAATAGCGGGCTGGCAGAGTGGCTCAAGTAGTAGAGTGCTTGATAGGCAAGTGTGAGGCCCTGAGTTCAAGCCCAGTGCCACCCCCCAAATAAATAATAAAACAGAAATGATCAGAGGGGATAGTGGGACCCTGGCTCCTCCTCTTCCCCTTTTTTCTCTTCTCTGCCAGGAAGTGAGCCATTCTGCTTTACACATGCTAGGTTGCCTGGCCACAGATCACAGCAATAGAGCCAACTGATCATGAACTAAAATCTCTGAAACTATGAGGCAAAATAAACCTTTTCTTTGGATAAGCTGATTGTCTCAGATATTTTGTTATGGTGATGGAAAGCTGACTGACACAAGCTCACTTCCCTAGTAACAGTGAAATTAAGACTGGATTTGGCTTCATGCAATTAGCTTCAGTAATGAAATAAAATTTCCTCAAAGATACATCTTCTCAAGGCATTGGTGGTAAGTTCAATGTGAAATCTTGGCTCAGTTAGCAAATTCATGAATTAAAGCATCTGCTTGTAATCTCATTGTCAGGGGACTCTTGACTTGTGTTACTTTCAGTGGTAGTAAGTCAGAGCACATAAACTCGCCCATGGGAAGGTCTAGTTTACATTTCACCCCTCACATTTCTTTCAGCACACCTGGTTGTATAGTTGGGATGAATGGTGACCAAGTGAAAGTGGTCCCTGTTCTCAGCAGCACCCATGATGGTACAAATAATTCAACCCTACCTGAGAAATCCCATGAAGACAGAGGAAGGCTACCTTCAAGAGTGAAACATAGGACACCTATCTCATGAGAGCCGGCTGGGGGACTAAGAGATTGTGTCCTGACACTGGGGACAGCTAGAGGGAAGGTCCTAAGGGGAAAAGGGGTCTTGAACTTTAGCAAGACTCTGTGAAGGTCTAGGGGCCAGATGCTTGGGGGAGGGTCTGTGCCTGAGGGGTGAGCAGGTACTAGACCAAGAAGACTTTATTCAAAAACAAATGGAAGCCGCTGAGGGGTTTGAAGGAAGAAGTGACCTTCCCAGTCATTATGGAGAGAAGAGACTGAAGAGGTTCAAAATGGAGGGGGATGGCTGAGGAGGCCCCAATCCTCCTGTGCTGATACTGAGGTTCTCATCTTTGCTTGAGCACCTCCTTATCAATAGAAGGAAAAAGTACTCCACAGCCCAAAAATCTACTAATCGTTCTTTAAAAAAATCCATGACCATTATTGATTGTCCAGCAATATATTCCTCAGCGCACTACAGAATGTCTTTGTGTTGTGTTTCTTACTGTTAATGGATGTGCATCACCTAACAGCTTGGTTTCCTTTGCTTTCATCTACTGGTGGTGAGAAATGACCTATACCTTCATAATGGCACACTTTGATCCTTGGTCAACAGAAGGACAGCCTGACTGTGGCCAACCTGGACACAATTAAATCCCTGTGTAGCTGATGGTAGGGACCAAAGGAGTGGTGTTTTCCTCCACTCAATGTTAGAAGTAATCTTGAAGTCACACAAGTTTTTTTCAAATTCTGTGTTTGTATCAAGATGCCAAATGTCCTTGTTATGCTAACTGCAAAAAAAAAAAAAAGGAACTTAATCTAGTTAATACCCAGGTCTGTTTCTCTACCAAACCCTAGTGAAGAGAGAAGGGGCGTGGACTTGGTAGCCAGTTCTACTAGATGTAAAAGGGGTGTGTGGCTCCTCAACGTGATGCTTTCCCACTGAGACATCCAATCTCTCCCCCAAAGTCAAGGTTCTGTGGTTTCCCAAGCAACAACAGAAGTCTGTTATTTTAAAAACTTGGTATCAACAACAAATGTGTGCAGGAAAACTGAAACATAAAATCCAGATTACTGTGGCATATTGAATCTACCCATAGAATTTCTCTTCCCCAAATATCCAACAAAAGGAGAAAATAAAACCTACAGCACTCACCAATAACAATCAGATAAAGAAAGGAACATATCCTGATGAAATCTATCTGTCTGTCATCTATCACCAAGGAAAGAAACAGAAAATTCTAGCATGAGATAGAGAACAAAGTTTGGCGTCAATCTTAGGTATGAGTCACATTGCCAGCATTTCCCCCATATCCCTATATCTATAGAGAAACAATTCTCTATAGAACAAAAGAATTGTTCTTTTTCCTCTTCTGACCAAAAAGCAGTTGGAAACCTTGTTAGCAAGAACCAGATGGCACTGGAGAGGGGATCAGAGAGGCTGCCGCTGCCTGCCCTGCTCCCTAACCCCATCAGGAAGGAAGGCCTGGATTGCCTGTACTGCAGGGGAGGTGGGCCCAAAGACCCCCAAGTGTCCCCTGTGGGAGTGGGAAGCAGTATAATGCTGCATGAGAGAGGACAGAGAGGGAGAGAGAGAGAGAGAGAGAGAGAGAGAGAGAGAGAGAAATCTTTTAACAAAGGCAGCACTTTGGCTCACCTGAACTCCCCCATCCCCATCCTTGGCATTCTTTCAGGATTTAAAAGAGTCGATAGCTCTCATAGGAAAATAAACATCTTAGATACAGTGGGAAGAATGGTGAAATGTCAATCAAGTTATATTAGACCAAGTGGAATAAGCAAGATGAAAAGAAATGTCACGGTTACTGTGAAAACAGTTTCTAGCAATACAAAGGAAGAAAGGATGTAAAACAAACCACTAAGTCCATCTATCATAGGGAAAAATAAATTTAATTTAAGGAAGAGAGGAATTGCCTTATAGTTGCTTCATGACAACTTAAAAAAATCAAAGATAACATTAAAAAAAGGAGAAATGAGATTATAGACTCTAGGAAACAAAACAAAAACCAAAAACAATATTATTATAGAATATATAAATAAGAAATAATAAGTAACAGATCAAAAACTACTAAAAACTGAATTACTGAAAAAGAGGGGTAGCACAAGGTAATAACAGTGAATAAATATAAAAAAGACAAAGAAATAAAAATAAACTTATAGAAATGCTAACAGATATCGAAGACAAATTATCTAATACATGGGCAACTTGGTGTCTTTGAAAAGAGATCATGATAACTGAGCAAGAGATATATTTATATGAAAGAGTATTTTCCTGGAAACAAAGGGAATATAAGGGAATCTCAGGTTAAAATTGTCAGACATTTTTATTTAGAATGTAAAGCACCAGACACATCCTACTTTGGGTTTGTGACTCCAGGGTTCAAGAGACAACTCTCTGGGCATTCAAGGAGAAAATGGAAGTGAGTCATCTTAAAGAAAAAAAAATCAGATTAGACTTAGATATTTCTACAGCAATGTTGAACAAACAATACCACCAAGCAACATGGCGAGATCTAGAAGGAACAGTGACTCACAGCCATGCACTCTGTTAGGATGCTCTTCAGGAACAAAGGTGATGGGTAGACATCCTCAAACACAAATCAGTGGTGACACTGGAACACCTGTAGTACCTTTTACAAAAACGGTGCTTGAATGCAAAGTTCACTTGAAGAAGAGATTAATTAAAATAAATAGAAATCATAGTAAAAGACTTGAGTCTGATTCTTCAATCTCTTAAATATAGTTAGTAATAAATAGCTTCTCTGCTATGAGAATAATGATTATAGAACAGAAGGTGAATATGTTGAAGCTGAACATTACAAACATAATAATATAACTGATTAAAATGATTCAAAGCTCTTAATATTTCTCAAAATAAATATTTTTATTCTTAAGTGTAATTCTTAAAAATAAATCCCCTTCTGAGGGTTGAATTGACCAAATAAAGTACACTCACAGCAGGGATACATAGAGGAACTCATTTGAAAACCAACTTAAATATTAATAATGAAAGACAGGACTGTAAAATAGGTACAGTGTATGTGGGGGGGACTAGTGGGATGGGGGAGGGTGAACAAAGGAGATGAAGGTAAGGGAATATGGATAATGGACTTCATATACTTATAGAACTAAGAAACCTCTTGCAATGGCTTTAAGTGGGGCAGTGGGCATTGAGGGGGAGATCTAACCAATGTACAATATAAGCCTAATCAGAACTGTCACTATGAATCCCCGCCTGCATAACAAATATATCCTAATAAATTTTTTTATAAAAAATCTCTTTCTGAGAGAGAATATTTAAAGATTAGTCAGTTTTCTAGTTTTGTTTTGATTCTTTTACCTCTTAGACATGTTTAATATTGCATGGTTTATGTATAAATATTTTCTAGCAATACATGGGAAGAAAGGAGGTAAATCCAACAAGTCTATCCTAAGGAGAAAATATATGGAATCTTTGCAAGGGGGAACTCTTTAGAAAGTATTTATTTCACATGTTTCTATTGTAACTGGCCTATTCATACTCCTGTCTGCTGACACATATATGATAGAAAAATATTTAGAATAATGTTTATTTAAGTTCATATTGGTAATTTATGGATGTTGGATTCTGCGATGGTTTGAAAACATTACTTTTTTTGTATCAAATTTCTTTATATTAATCACTTATCTCATACAAAAATGTTTCTTTTTCTTATAAAAGAAGAAAAGGTACCAGGATAATTATGATGGATAGCAGGAATGTTGATAATTGTGACTTTCTTTTTTTTTTTTTATTTTTTGACAGTACTGCAGTTGAGCTCAGGGGGCTTTGCTTGATAATCAGGCACTTTACAACTTGAGCCACTCCACCAACAATAAAGGAGCACCAGCCTCAATCCTCTTTTTTTTTAAGAAGAAATTCAAATGGCCAAAAAACATGAAAAAATGCTCACCATCTCTAGCAATAAAGGAAATGCAAATTAAAACCACACTAAGATTCCACCTCACCCCTGTTAGAATAGCCATCATTAGCAACACCACCAACAACAGGTGTTGGTGAGGATGCGGGGAAAAAGGAACCTTCTTACACTGTTGGTGGGAATGTAAACTAGTACACCCACTCTGGAAAAAAATTTGGAGGCTACTTAAAAAGCTAAACATCGATCTACCATTTGATCCAGCAATACCACTCTTGGGGATATACCCAAAAGACTGTGACACAGGTTACTCCAGAGGCACCTGCACACCCATGTTTATTGTGGCACTATTCACAATAGCCAAGTTATGGAAACAGCCAAGATGCCCCACCACCGACAAATGTATTAAGAAAATGTGGTATCTCTACACAATGGAATTTTATGCAGCCATGAAGAAGAACGAAATGTTATCATTCGCTGGTAAATGGATGGAATTGGAGAACATCATTCTGAGTGAGGTTAGCCTGGCCCAAAAGACCAAAAATTGTATGTTCTCCCTCATATGTGGACATTAGATCAAGGGCAAACACAACAGTGGGATTGGACTTTGAGCACATGATAAAAGCGAGAGCACACAAGGGAGGGGTGAGGATAGGTAAGACACCTAAAAAACTAGCTAGCATTTGTTGCCCTTAACGCAGAGAAACTAAAGCAGATACCTTAAAAGCAACTGAGGCCAATAGGAAAAGGGGACCAGGAACTAGAGAGAAGGTGAGATCAAAAAGAATTAACCTAGAAGGTAACACACATGCACAGGAAATTAATGTGAGTCAACTCCCTGTATAGCTATCCTTATCTCAACCAGCAAAAACCCTTGTTCCTTCCTAGTATTGCTTATACTCTCTCTACAACAAAATTAGAAATAAGGGCAAAATAGTTTCTGCTGGGTATTGAGGGGGTGGGGCGGAGAGGGAGGCGGCGGAGTGGGTGGTAAGGGAGGGGGTTGGGGCAGGGGGGAGAAATGACCCAAGTCTTGTATGCAGATATGAATAATAAAATAAAAAAAAATTTTCTTACTCCAGTTACCAGATAGACTAAAAAACAATGGTAGGCTTAATTATTTATTACCAGCCATTTTTCACTGAGTTTATTGATCCTATTGGCCTATTTCTGACTTTTTTATAGAGTGAGATCTTTGATGGTTATAATGGTAAGGAGTGAGGAATGTTGCTGACCAAAAAAAAAATATACTTATTCATGCTCCTGTCAAAGTTTAATTTAAAAATTTTAATCATAGCTCACATATAAAGAAAGCAAAAATCTATGCCACTCTGAGCCTTATTCAACATAAGAATCATGTTACCTGACATTTTTAAGGTGTTTTCTAGTGTGAAAAGAACTGCCATATCTGTTGTCCTTTTTGATCCTCAGAATAGTTCTGGGAGGGAGGCAGGGCAGCTGACCACACCCATTTGAGAAATGGAAACACTGAGTTCACTGCTGCTCAAGACTTGCGCCAGGTCACCAGTCAGTATTGGCTGGAGCTGAACCCTAAACCCAGGCAATCGTTCAACTCCACTACTGCTGGACCAACTGGTATGAGTGTTATTAGATTCCTAGACTCTCTTTCTGAGTTTACCTGAAGGATACTGCAGCATCCTTGAGGAGAACAATCTTTGAGATCAATCTCTCTTATTATGTCAGAGCTGGAGAAACTGTGGCACATTGGCAATGGCTGATGGAAATACCATCAGACTACAACAAAATTAAGGTAAGAATTTTAGGGCAGGAAGAGGTGTTGGTTTAAACATGGACTGCCAATCGCCAGCTCCAGGGAAAACACCAACTTACACAGCTGCTCTGGGCCCTTCCTTCCAGACTCCACTTCTGCTATCCTGGTCCTTCTGTTCCCATAACACCACTTCCTCCTGGGGTTAACCTCTCCCCTGGAGACTGCTTTCTCATCTTAGCTTTGCTCCATCAGAGCACTTTGTTTTGTTTTGTTGTTCTTTTTAACACAGATGTGTCTGGTTCAATACAGTGGTCTTGCCAGGGTGGCTATGATAGAGTTTCACAGCTGTTCCATTTGGCTTGAAGACTAAAAGCTAAAGAGGGCTGCAGTTGTTCTCTTACCAAATCACTTGGAATTCTCCAGGCTCCTAATCTGAAAGAGGAAGTCATACCCTGCTTCCTGAGGTCAGTAACTCTTCACAACCCTTGGACACACTCACTGCTTTGTCTTCATTTATTTCCCTGGTCACCCTATCAACCCCTCTTCCCAATTCCCACCCGCAAGGGACCTCCCAGAAGATGCTGCCTATATAGGGAAGGAACTGCGGGGGTCTGTGCCTGATATTACCTGATATCTCCCCCACCTCAAGATCTGACTCTCAGCACAGGACCTCCTCCCTACTTTGCTAAGGAAACAGAAGGTCTCCCTCATTCTTACAGTTCAAAAGCTCACATTTGCACAGGCAACTCCACATATAAGGTTTCCAACTGGTGGTTTCCACTTTATTTATTAATGGAATCCTTCTTTTCCCTGACCCCCACAACCCCCAATCTATGACAATAGATCAAAATGAATCTACTGAATCAATAGATCAAAATGGAGCCCTATCTGAAGGTACAAGAGGGAGGCTGGCATCCAAGAGCTTGAGCTCCCCTCTGTCCTTCCCTCTCGAGGCCTTTCTGTCTCAGGCCTCATTAAACACAGACTCTCCCAGGAGGCCATCCACACCAGGAGGTGCTTGAAACTTACTGTATCAAAATCTGAACTCCATCATTTTCTAGACCTGCCTTCCTCCTTCCTGTAAACGGCATACGACTTCACTCTAGCCAGTGAAACCCATGGTTTCCTTCACCACCCTCTTTCACCAAACCTTCTTCCTCTCTCCACTGCAGCTACCACTCCCTCAACTTCTACTTTCCAATCAATTTTTGGCATGTGTTGTCTCCACTTTCCAAGCTGTTGCTACCATCAAAAATATACCCATGCTTTTTCTGTGCCTTCTGAATGAAGTCACATCATTTTGGTATTCATCTCAGGGCCACAGCTTCCTGGACTACTTCACTCTTGTTACTTCCTGGTGGATACTTCCAGCTTCTCCATCATGTCTCACTCCAACACTAGACCCTACCAGCAGCATCACCATTTCTCCTTATTATCTGTCTAGAATCCTCCCCGACTCCTCCAACATCTGCAACATGCTGAAATTCCATTCCTCTTTGCAGTTCCACCTCAGCTTCATGAAGCATTTATTGGTCTCCTTCCTGGACATGGTCCTTCAGTTCCTGACCACAATAATAACTGACCTCCACACTAAGGGGTTCTAAATGTTCTCACATTCTTTGGGGTCATTTTATGTTGACAATGACCCTGTGAATCAGGTAAAGAATGGAACCAAGGCTCAGAGAGGTTGAGTCCTCTACCCAGGGTCACAGAGTTAATGAGAGGCTCTGTACTGATCTCAGGTTGGTATCTGAACCTATTATTTCCACTTGGACATCTGCCTTGACCCTGTTCTTGGCCTTCAGATCCTACCCTGGATGTACTGTGTTATCATCTACATCAGGCAATGGCTCCTGGGAGGTATGTGTATATATGAGGCTTACTTTGCAGTTTTATCCTCGTAGTACTTGGCACAGGTAAGGATTCAATGATCAAAACAACAATCCTAGTTGGATCTCCCCTTCACTGGGGACTTCTCAGGGGCCATTCACTGTGTGCTTCTTCCCATAGACCTTCACAGCCCTCCATAAGGGGAAGGCTACGTACTTTTTTTTGGTAAAACAGATATCTAGAGTTCAGAGAGAGTGATGAGCAGGGGCTGTTCTGCAGTGAGGGGTTCCTGGCTCTTGATCCTGGGCATACTGACCAGGAATAGTGATCACACGCAGATCATACCAAGGACACCAGATGCTACCAAAATCACATCTAAGGAAACCCTGGTTGGAAGTTTTTCAGTTTGAAGAAATTTAATGAAAAATAAGATATTTTTTTCCTTTTCTCTACCCTCAACTAATTTCCACTTGAGTCTAAAATACCCCATAGGTTTTTATTAGGAGACAGCAAACGTTCAACTCTTACCAAGAAATTTCTGAGGCATAGAGCTCTTACGTTTGGCGACGTTACTTGCTAGTCTGTCCAGCACGAGGGATCTCTCTGATCCTATCTTGCACAGGTCTTCTGCCATCTCACTGTGATTAGTTTCTTCTTTAATGACTAAAGTCAAAGACAGTTAGAGAGGCCAGTTTAGAAATGCTTGTGTTTAAAGGATTCCACTTTATCTAGTGTTATAGCTGACTTTTGTTGAGCACCTAAGAGAGCCAGACCCTTCCTTGAGATTACTGCTAATTCTTCCAACACCCTGTCTGCCAGACAGACAAGGAACTACTACAGCAATGCCAATGACCAGTCACTCGCTAACGCTCCTTCCTCCCACACCTGTGCACCACACACTATACCAAAAGAAAAAGAACCTCCTCCAACGCACAAGGCAGTGATGAAATAATTGTGTCCCTTTGAAGAGTCCTTTCAACTTTTCAAAATTCTCCAAAATCCACACCTTAACCAACCCTAACAATAGCCCTCTGAGAACTAGAGGCTGTCAGATCCAGAAATGACTTAACAATCTGACACCATGACTTGCACAGTGAACGGAGATGCAGGAAGGGTCCCAGAGCAGATCTTGGTAACTTGGGGAAGGAAGCCAGAGATCCTCATCCCTGAACACACAGCAAACAAACTGTTGGTCACCAAATAACACATGCACATGACAGAAATTTAGAGACTGTGTGGGTAAAATGAGAACATGTGGGCTATTTCTGGTCAATCTCTAGTTTTCTATGCCAACTCTTCCTTCGTATAATTGAAGACACAACTTTGAGTCCTACATAGTGTCATCTACATTGACTTCTAGTTTTTTACAGTGGGAATTTTTGAGATATAATTCTTTCATTTCCCTGAAATGTGTCCTAATGTGAAAGGAACTGAAAATGTAAGTTGGTTATCTGTTGCATATCTAATCAAGTCTTCCAACTCTGTTTCTGCCTTATGCCTCTCTCTTCCCAGACATTTTGTGCTGATTTATCACAGGGTCTTTAGGTTTCTGCATTTCTATTATTGACTTATCTGTGATTCTTCAAAGTATTCTATACATGACAGCTACAATTTCATAGTGCTAGACTTGCCAGTTCCCCCATTTATTTTTCAGATCCACTTTAGGATATGTGGTTACACAATTCTGACAAGACTTGTAAGAAATTTTATGCCCAAAGTATGCCTTGATTTGGGAGAATGTTTGTGGGCGGTGTCCAGCCTTTTCTCCCTCTTCCATGATTCACATTTTATTTCTGGTCTCACCTTGGTTTTGTATCTTTCTGTAGTAGGCCCTCCACATTGCCTGCTAAGAGGGACCCTAAGTATTTTATGTCTTCATTGCTGTTATGGATGCCACTTTAAAAGCCTGTATTTCCAAGTGGACAGAATTATTGCTATATATAAATAAAACAGTCCTGGAGTTTAAACACTGGGCTTTGTGCTTGCTGAGCAGGCACTCTACTGCTTGAGCCCTATCTCCAGCCCTATCTTTTATCTTTTAACAGTGGAAATATGTTTTCTTAAGTAGGTCAACACATATAGCCCACACCCCGACTACTAGGAAGACTACACATAAATTCATAAAACCCAATTCCACTGGTCATACACCTGACCTACCAAGCTAACATGATTGCTTGTACGTCCCTCCTCCGTAAAGTAGGCAAAGTTGCTGTCCTGGGGACCTCGTTTTGCATGTGGGTTTCCTTTCCACCCCACCACACCCCAGGGTCCACTGAGTCCTTGGTCCTCAGAGTGGTCTGTAGTGAGGGAAAGGTGATCCCAAAATTCCCAGATCTTTCTCTACTTTGCCTTTAGGTGGATTTACTCTTCAATCTCTGCAACTTGAGTCTCAAAAAACCTTATTTTCTGTAAATTTATTAGGGAAGTGTAACAGGTAACCAGAAGACTTTTACTATGGAAGATTACTGTCAGTAAAATTAGTGTCTTTCCTGTATCCTTTTAGCTACATATTGTTTTTACTTAACAGATCCAAACTAAGAGGGATTGGAAAGTGAACAGATGACTTGGGAGTACCTTTAAGCACTAAAGAGGGCTGACTTCTGAAGGCTGTAGAAGGACAGGAGATGAAGATGCAGAAGACACATGTTCAACCAGCCCTGGTACAGCAGAGCAGATGTGACCAAGACCCTACTCTCCCAGCTGTGCACGGAGTCTAATAAGGACAGTCGTTAAATTTCTTTATAACTCCTCTCACTGACAAGTTCCTTAAACCAGAACTTACCAGGGCTAGCTGTTGAAAAGGGTAAAATAAAGGTGTCTCTGGACTTCTACAATTTGGATCTGGAATGCACTCACAGGACTGTATGTTGGAGGCTTGGCCCTTAAGGTGACGTTAGTGAGAGATGCGGTCTCAGGGAGGTCTTTATATTATTTTGTGGGCTGTTCTCAAAGGTGATTATGGGACCCCAGACCCTTCCCCTCTCTCTTTGCTCTATGATGTGAGAGATTTTGGTCCACCAGACACCCCTGCCATGATACGCTGCCTCACCTCAGGCTCCAAACAATAGGGCCAAACAATCATAGATAGAACCTCCAAAATGGTGAACCAAAATAGCCCTTTGTTTTCATAAGCTCAGGTGTTTGCTACAGTGATAGAAAGCTGGCTAACAACACTGATCACGCTGCATGTCTTGGCACAATGTAAGGCAGAGAGAATTCAGTATCATGAAATGCCAGCATGCCTGGCCCTGCCTGTGGCTACACTGGGGTCAGATGACCACTCCTTGCTGGAGAAGCTTTCTTGCCTCTAGACAACAGGAACATGAAGACATCACTATAATATTCCAAATCACTCGACCACCAATGGGGACAAATGAACATTTTAGGGTGATGCTCACACAAGGTAATAGTTAATAAGTATCACCAGTTCACGAGCTTATGAGCGTGGAGACCACACCCATGGCCAGCTGTCAGAGACCTCAACTTCTCCATTAGGTAGGCCCATGATGTGTGGTGTCTAGGCTTCTTGTTGTCACAGGGACTCATTCTCCAGGGCCCTGCCCTAAGGTTGGTCTGGTGAAAATTATCATTCCCATTTAAGAGATGAGCTATGGTGAGCTGGTGGAGTGGCTGAAGTGGTAGAGCACCTGTCTAGCAAGCATGAGGCCCTGAGTTCAAACCCCAGTATCGCCAAAAAACTGAAAACCAAACAATAACAACAAAGAAGAGATGAGCCCTGGACTGCACTCAAAAAGAGATCTAAAGAAGAATCCCAAAGCCAAGTCTTGGTGAAACCAATGCTACTTCTCCCCTGGAAGCAGCTCCCAGTCCAGCCTGAAGAGGAACAGCTCGCTTCTTTAGTAATGAAGAATGGTGGAGGAGAAACAGAAAACACGGTCCCTGGCTTTGCTCCTTCCATAGGTTCTGCCTTCTCAACTCCATGTGTACACTGGATAATTTTACTCTATATGGCTTAGTATTATTGATACTAAGTCCTCAGTAAATATTTGTTGATTAAATAAAATGACTTGTTGAGCATTAATATATAAATTACATTATTAGAAGCACTTGCTTCCAAGACCTGTCAACTTATTTTTATTTTATTTTTTTATACAGAAAAATACAATATTTAAGTGTTCACATTTTATTTTCAAAGAACCAAATTATCCTCTTCTCCTTTGGTCTCCTACTCTGGGTAATTTTGATAAGTTACTGTTGTTATTATTTTAACGTCCTGTTTCTCCTTTTTCACTCACTCTCAGTACCTTTCCAGTGTAGACGTTGAAGGAAACTAAATAATAATTCCATGAAATCACCCCATTTCACAGATAAGACTAAGACTCTGAGAAATCAACTGTCAGCCCCAAGAGCACAGGTAACCAATGGGGAGATAGCCCAGAACCCAGGGCTCTTGCCCTGCATTGATTTTTAGGACTTCTTTATTGGCCATTCCTTTCTCTGGCTCCCATCTGTATGAACGGTGGTGAATTATCCTTTGTGAACCATTTGCTAAAGTCAGAATGATGAGTGAGGCTCAATACATTCTCAGGCATGAACTGAGTTTCTACTCTACAGTCCAATGACCACTTCTTCAGTGGTAGTGCTGAGTGGTGGCGTTTGGAAAGAGGTGAGCTGTGTTTAATCTATGTATGAATCATCTCTTTAAATCATTTGTACATCATTTACAAAGATGTGTTTTGCAACCCTGCCATCCCTCTGGGTAAACCCAGTCTTCTCGCCTTTCTTACTCTGTGCCATCTAAGGCTTGAGTCACGAGCTGTCTTGTTAGGCAGCACATGCAACACAGCTCGGAAGACAAACACAACCTTTCCTTGCTCCTCGGATACCTTCAGTACTGCCGACTGTCAGGGTCTTCTGACTCTGTAGTTCTCTGCCCTCAGTCTGAACGGGTGACTGAGGCCACAGCCTGGGTTATTTGATCACTTTCATGAAAAATCATTTTAAAAAAGGGCTTCACATCTTGATTACTATCAGTTTGATTACTAAGTACAAAGAAACGACCACTACTCTAGGATTTTTGTTCATTTGTTTGTTTGTTTTGTTGGTGCTGGAGAGCAAACCCAGGACCTCATGTGTGTTACTTTAGTACCTTATCACTAAGCTACAGTCCCAGGTCACTAACTCTAGGTTTAAAAAACAACTCCCTAAAACAAACCAACACACCCGAAGAGAGAGAGTTTTTTCATTATTGTAGACTTTTCTTTCTTTTTAAAAATTATTTTTATTGCATACATTAATAGTACAAGGGGGCTTCATTGTGATAATTCCATAGATGCACACAGTGTACTTTGGGTGAGAGGGAGTGTTCTGAAGGTGAGCTCTATCTGGTCAAATGAGGATGTGGAAAATGGAGAAGTGCAATGTGTTGTTCCTAGTGAAACTGCGATGTTGTGGACTAAAATGGTCCCTCCCTCACAATGTGGTGGGAAAGCCAGCCATCCAGGGCGCCAGGGACTGGGAGGGAGAGGGATCCAGGCCCAGCCTGGGAGCGTCAGCGCTTACCTGGGTACAGCGGCCCCGGGAGGCCCATGCTTTCCAAGTAGTTGTGGCATCGCTCTTTATGTTCCTCTAAAGAGCTTCGCTGTTTATAGCTTCGGCCACAATATCCACATTTGTGAGGTTTACCAACTGCAGAAAACACAATTGAGTTCAAGACCCCAATTAAATGTTGGCCTTCTGTGTAATGGGAATGCATGCAATACAATTATTACCAAAAAAAGCAAAAAAAAAAAAAAGTTCTATTCTTGAGAGCTAAAAGCATGAGGACCTGGTCAAAATTACTGATTTTAAGAATGCTAACGCCCAGGGGACTCCTTGATTGTCATCAGGAACTCATGTGACTCTTATTTCATCTTAATTTGTCTACTGTACTGGCTACAGAACTTTCTCCCTTTAAAAAATCACTGAAGTCTGCCTTTAACTGGGAAAAAAAGTGAACCACTGAGGGGCTATAGTCTGGACAGAAACATGAGGAAGTGCTGTAGTATGTACAGAAATATTCACTTCCCAAGGGCCTCCTGTTCAAGTCTATGCTGGGTGTCAGGTCTGGGTCAAGAGCTAATGCAATCAAGGTGAACTCAAGACAGCAAGCTAAACTGGATAATTTGAGATCTCTAAGAAACCATGGTGGATAAATATGATTTAGTGAAATGAACATTTCATCTCTAAATTGTCTTTTCTTATACAATACGAAATATTTTGTGTAAGATTATACAACATGAAGATACAAAATAGAAAGTTATAAGGAAAATACAAAATGCATTTTTACATGCATGGAAAATATATAATGGATTTTGCATAAACAGAGCTGATGGAAACCCTTTCTCTTGTCCTGAAAGGACATTTGCATGATGTAGCTTCTAGATCAACCCTCTTTATCAAAACTCACTTTGAAGATGGACATATTCCCTACATATTTGTCTATACGACATATGGCTAGTGTACTAGTCAGTGGTGTTCTAAACAACGAATTTAGACCTTCCTGGATTTTACTGAGTAGTATTTTAAGAAATGAAGAATAGCAAGGAATCCACACCATGTCTGTATTTAAAGACTTTAATAGACGTAACAGATATTTAAGAGAGAAAATGTCTTCAATTACTTATATGAGGAATATAAACTTCCACCTTAGTATCAAGATCATCTTCTTTCCTGTGCTGCTTGATTTAATATATTTCCAAGTATTTTATAAAAATCAAGACCATCCAAATAAGAATGTTTGGTAACTGATTTAACCAAAACTATTGGTTGGTTAAATCTCTGTTGTAGGTGAAGAGAAGTTATGATTTAAGACTAATATGAAAAGCAAAGCTTGACTTTTGGAAAGTATAATAGAGAAAGACAGGGTCTTTATCTATAGAAAGTGATAACACTCCAAATACTAGCAAATAATGCTGAAATATGGAATGTTGCCTATAGTTGCAAATTTTGCTGAGTACTCTTTTAGAAATTTATAGGTTATAGATAATCACTCCATGTCCTTTCCTAGAAAATCTATAACTCTGGTGAATTTTCATGATCACAATTGCCTCCTGTAGAGATGACATGGTGTCTGAATATCAATTTCCCTTAGTATATGATCAGTTTTAACTCTGGAACAGAAGAAATATGTTCATTGTAAGCAACTGAACTAAAGTAAGTGGAAAAGAGTCTCTAATGAAGCTTGCAACTTCCAAACAAACAGTGAGGAAGGAAGGTTCCCCTGCCTTCCCCATCATGACCCCCAAGCTCCTCTTCTTATCACCATGAGACAAATTCTGTAGCCACTAAGGTGTTGGTGTCTGGAACCTCAGGCCACAAGCAATTGCTAAGGGAAGTCACGTGGGTGACCCTGGATTTTAATGGAGTTTGGGGCATGGCTGCTCTACAAGGGAAGAGAATGTTGTTACATCTGAGTTTGCCAGATGAAAGGCAGAAGTCTTCACCTTGTCTTCGTGAATCATTATGAAGAACCTAAGTCACTGCTTTTTTTTTTTTTTTTTGGTCTTCCTAAGAGCTGTGTGTGTCAAGGGCACCTTCAGACAAAGAGTCAATCCTCAACAGCGCCAGGTCTGTGATGGGTTTCTTCACTAGCTCAGCGGTGGATCCATATCAGAAGTGATCATAGTCCACCACCTAATTACTCCTGAAATTAGCCATGTTGGGAGCAGGAAGGATACTGTCATGCCGCAGATTCAATAAGCAAGCACGGAGCAGAAAAATATAAAATGCTGCACTAGATGATCCTAATTAATTACATAGGAAAGAAGAGAATGACATCATCTTAGGTTTAAAGGACTGACTGTGGGAGAGGTTTGTATTGCAAATCCGAGGAGTCAGTCTGAGGGTGATGATGATATGCTGTGCGAGTCTTTGCCTTTTCCACTGACTTGGGGAGCTGTGTGTCCTGCCAACCCAAGTGCAATGTCAATTGTAGGGTCTGTGTGACCCCCTTATCAATGATGGACCTGAAGCTGCTTTCTCCCAGGTTGCCTGTTAGCACAGATGCAGCCTACACAAGCCTGTGTGTCAGTATGTCCCTGGCATCACCTACATCTCCAGATGTACCACACATGCTTATCACTAACACATGTAAACACATAGACATGCTCCTTGTCATGGTGTCATCCCTTCATCTCAGGGAGCATTCCATTCTTCCTGCAGCAACCGCCCCCCATTCCTGAGTATGTGTTCTTTCTAGGATGGGAGTATGTGTTTCTTTCTGCTGCAGGGGAGAGCATCTCCTCTGTTGGGGACAGCTACTTTCTCAGTTGGTTTTAAGAAGCTTACTGGAATCACTGTGAGCATTTGTAAGCCTCCTACATGTCTCTCCTCAGGAAGCAGGATGGAATGGAGAGAAGTCTCAGGGACACAGCTTCCTTCCCTCTTTCCCCAGATGTCTGGGCGAATGAATGCCTTTCCAGTGGGGACCACTTGCTAGAAGAACCAGGCTCTGGCTAACACCTGCTAAAATGTGCACTTCACCCTTTTCCAGGACCACTATAGAATCTCACACTTATTTAGGACTCTCCAAAGTAAAGTGAAAATGGGCCTTGGACATTTACTGGAGCCCTTCTCTTATTGGAATCTCTCCTGACCCTCCTGCTGGGACCACCTGTCCTTTCCCTTCTGTTGCCTTGACACTCTGTTATGTTGTGAGTAGGATGCTTGTGCTTTACCAGTATGCACTGGTCCCTTCTTGGTACATGAACATTCTGAGGGGCTCCCAAACTGTGGGGTGAAGAGATGGACACATGAGAGGTCTCTAAAACCTGCACCATGAAACACACTCATCACATTTGAGAAGAGATGGCCTGAGCCCTGTCAGCCTTTCACAACCTACTTCCTGGAGGTGACCCCTCCTCATCTTGTCACCCTGGACTGGGAGGACGTTGGCCTAAGGTATCTCCATTGCTCACAGCACCTGCCCTGAGTGGCTGCTGCTGGGAGAAGTCACTGAGCAGAGTGCTGGCTGGGCCATAGTGCTCTGTGAGGGCAGGGACAAGGTCCATCAGCTCCTGCTTGCTCCTACATCACTATCCCCCACTGCCTCGGGTGAATGACATCTATGCCTGTCCCATCCCACAGACACACTATAGGCAAGCACAGTACACAGCAGGTGGCCAAGAGTCTTTATGTCTCATTACCTGGGTGGTAATGAGCCACCCAGGAGGCAGAATATCTGACCTAATTCTGGGATGATTTGTACAACTTGAATTAGGAGTGTTTCCACAATTGTGGCACATTTATGCTAATCATGATCTACCTGACACTTCAGATTATTTAGGCTATACTTCAAGAAAAATGCTGCTTTCTAAAATCTCTGGATAGCCCCAAACTGGCCTCCCCCATCTTGGATTCTGGGATGAGAGTTACTCTTGGACTGGGCTGACAGGGCTGTGCTCTGAACCACCTCTGTGTACCACCTCTGCAAAGAAAACTACTCCTATTCCTTCCATCTTGAACCCTGAGTATTAAAAATACTCAATGGTAAGACAGTGGAAGTGTGGCTTAACCATGAACATAAAGAAATGTGTCTGGAAACACTGGGGCATGATAGTATGGCTGGAGAAAGTATGGCGGTGGAATCCTGCACAAAATCCCACTTACCTGACACAATGGGATGCGGAAGCCTCTTCTGAAACATGCAAGGAGGGCACGGTGTGCATGTATGCCCCCACCCGCTGACTTCAGTTCAGTGGACAAAGTGGAACACTAGGGAGGGGGCCAATGTCAAAGTCAAGGTGGTTGACACCTCTGAGGGCTGTGAACTGGGCAGGGGAGAGGGCTGTGGAAAGGATGCTCAAAGCAAACAGCACCTGCCCTGGGGCCTAGCACAACCATAATGGAGGGTGAACCTTAGGCATCCCGGCTTCACCCAGGGGACCTACCGGAGTGCGTCCTCAGGTGGCCAGTAAGGGCGTCCCTCCGGCGGCAGGCATAGTTGCAGAGGTGGCACTTGAAGGGCTTCTCTCCGGAGTGCAGCTTGATGTGCCGCAGCAGGTTGCCCTTCTGGGTGAAGGAGGCCCCACACTGATTGCACTGGAAAGGTCGTTCTCCTGTGGCAAGGAGAGGAGAGTCGACAGTGAGAAGAAAACTCAGCACAGGCCCAAAAGGACCGCTGCCTTGTGACAAAGTTGTTTCCCATGGGGGCCGGTGACTTCCACCGGCTGCAGGTTTGATAGAACACGAGGCTTTCAGACTAAACCTGCCAGCTCCTTAACGCTTCACTGGCTGGGTCAATTTGATCTGAAAATCTAATTTTTTTTCCCTAAATCAGAATGGCACATCACAATGCAAATTCAAACTCATTTAAATAAAGTGACTGCAACATTTTGTGATGAAGAGCCACTCTTCCTGATCAGCAGTTCTGGAATAAACCAATATCCAATTCTGCGTGTTGTGGCATTTGGTGGGGTTTTTTAATGTGGCTTTTTTCAAAGGGTCTTTAAAATATGCCACTGAAGCAGCAAAATAAAAAGGAAACTCATTAAAAATGCATTTCAGGATCACAAGTTCATTTCAGCGTTACATTCTTATATTTAAATGAAAGGCACTTCATTATAACAGTTATAATAACTTCTTTTCATTTACATTTTCCCTGTATTTTCCCTTTCAATTTCTTCCCCATTACCTGTCTGTCCCTAAGCAGGCAAATCAGGAGAGAGACAGACAGAGAAAGTATGAGGGTATGAGACAGAAAGAGAGAAAGAGAGAGAGAGATGGAGAAAGATTGGATAAAATAGGAAGTTCAGAAACAAGGCAGCCAGAACCCCATCTTCCAAAGGAAAGTTCCAAATCTGTCTACAGCAAGTGCCTGAAAGTCCGAGTTACATGGAGATTTCTTGCCTTTTCCTTCTTTCACAACTTCTAAAGCTCTTATTTGTCTATATCATAGAAGACAAATTATATTTCAAGAACAAACACTCTAAGAGATGCGATTTAGTTGTGAATAATTCCTCCAGGGTGGCGCTAGTGGATTTGTGATGGAGAAAAGCCTCATGGGCTTACACCCTGGATCTGACAAAGGGGCAAACAGGTATTTATGAAAAAGGAATAAGGTGTGGTCCTGCTAGGCCATCGCAGGTCTTGGGATCTACCTCCTTGAATATTTCCTTTAACTCCTACTTACGGGAGTGACACGTTTGTCATGCCTAAGTACATATTAAAGCTCTTTTGAGAAACAAATGCTTCATTTTTAAATGGAGAGTGCTATGTAACCATAATTCTTGGTGTGGAATACCATGAAAATATATGCCCTGGGGACAATTTTTTTTCTTAGGAATAAAGAATATTCAAATGCCTATTTAACCATTTTTCCAATATGATGAAGAAGAGAGCACTTATCAACAATGATTGCTAGAAATGTACCTGGAGTCATTAAAATACACACTAGATGAAATTTTTTTTCTTCGCATTTTTATTTTCATATTATTGTTGTACTGGGGGGATGCATTGTGACATTTACAAAAGTTCTTACAATATATCACTCCCTCTTATATGAAATCTTAAAGTGCATATTGGCACTTGAGTTTTCTGATTATCATCACTCTCTTCCAGTGGACAGGGAAGATATAAAATTAGAAACTAATTTACAGTGATATTCATTTATGGACTAATTGGAGAGGTCTTGATACCAGCTGGCATGTATTCAATATTTCTCCTAATCCTGGTCTAGATTGGGCTTGGGTGAGCAGAGAGAAACGGGGTTCAAAGTCAAGTGGAGAAACCTACTTTTTGAGTTCCTAGTGCATGCACATAGTTGATATTGTATGGAGAAGTTAAAGAGCTTAGAAGCCAGGCAGTCCTGAAGGGATCTCTTGTGGAGAACCAGTTGGTTGCTATGAAACACACTCCTGGCCTTCACTATATGTAATCATGAAGTGTGTGTTTAACTCCACTGGACAACAGGAAGAAGAAGAGTGACCACCACGTACAGGGAGACCTAGACAGAGAGAATTAGAACTCTCCTCTGTCCGTAGCTCTCATCTAGACATGGGACTCTCAGGTTGGATGGAAAGAGAACTAGGAAAGCCCACATTAAAGATGTGGGGGACACTCCTGGTGATCCAAGTGTGTTTGTGGCATGAATCAAAGCTTGTGATCCCAGTCCTGTGAACCCTTTCTGTGTTGGGGAGGGGCTGAAATGCCATGTCTCCCCTAGCTCTGACTTGCTGGAGGGAGAACACGAGATACAGCCAGCAATTCAGGCAGTGGGAGGCAGAGGACAGACGGTTACAGTTACAGACAAGCCACCCATTTGCAGGAAGGAAAGGTTGCCATTTCTTAGAGATTGAGATTTGTCTTCTAATTTGAGCCAATGCCCTCATGGATCCTGCTGTGCCTGGTGTCTTTATCCCCAACACAAGGCAAGCTTCACTGGAAATCGATTTGTTTTCTGATTCTTGGGTGGGCACAAATACTTAGCCCTGGGGTGAGGGGTCTTGAATACAGTGTTCCACTCACTCAAGAGAGGTGTTATAAGAGGACAAGTCCATGGAGCAATGCCATGAGACACAGCCCACATTTCTATGTGCTCTTTTTGTTGCCTGCCTTCTGTAGATCAACAGTTTTCTAGTGTGGCTAAGTTCAAGTTTCCCCAAGCTTGTATTCACTTACATTTAACTGGGACGAGGAGTTCATATCACAAATTCCAAATTTAGTTTTTCCGTCTCAGTGATTCTATACATTTTCCATAGGGCCATTTTCTTGGTCTTTTATTATTTAGAATAATAACATATGTGCACAGTATTTCCAGCTTTTTTCCCCACCATCATGCATTTGATTCTCACCCTCATCCTGCCACGAGGCAGAGACAGCATTGCTATGACACCTGAGTCACAAACATGAAACCAAGCAGCCAAATGGGAAGTGAAGCATTGGTACCAACCAACTGCTTAAAAAACAGCACCATGGCTCTTCACCAAGGTGGTGATATGGGTGGAGATCGGGGCTCTACCCAGATCACCCCTGAAACACCTTAGTTTAGCAGGGGCAATGAGGAAGCCCCATGCCTAGCTGACTAGTTATGGGCACTGAGGGGGAACAGTAGCATGGTCCATGTGGCTTGTCCAGCAGGGCATCACATTCTACCTCAACTCCAAAGTGAAGAGCATTAGAATGTCTCTGCTTACTGTCATGCCCTCAAGTGGCAATTCCCAAGCCTGGGGGCTTGTTAGAAATGCTTGCTCTCCAGCCCTGCCCACCCCCACCCCCAGGTCTGAATCACAGCCTGTGTTTTCCCATGTGGTTCACAGGTCCTTTCAAGTTGGAGAAGCCTTGCTCTGAAACTATTAACATACAGAATATAGGAAGCACCCCTTTCCTAAAAGATTCTACCCAGACACCAGGAAAATGAAAACCTTTCCTGTACAACTAGCTATTCAAACGTAGTTTGGCCCAAGTGAGGGTCTCTTTGTACCTATCCATGGCTTTCTATATTCATGGGTGGGAGATGTACTGTGGAGACAAGCCTGTGACAAGCAATGAGCACATTGCTTCAGGGCCTCTTCTTGTTTTTAAGTACAGGGCTAGATAGGAATGATACAACTGATGCTCTGCCCTCTTTCTGGAAGTTACCTGTTCCGTAGGTGAAGAACTGAGCAGATTGAGGTGTCTGTAACATTTAGCTGCTAGTTGTGGGGGGAGTCTGCAGCAAACAGTAGGTGCTATTTGCATATCTGGACTTGGCAGGTTTATTCATTAAATGTAATTATTCTTTTTATCAAGGCAGGCAGTCATTATATTTTGGCAATTTAATATGCCAGAATTTGATTCACTTATCAAATATTTATTTACAAGAATTTTCACTGTAGAGTCTGGCTTTATATGAATTAGCAGGAAAGTAATTCATTTGTAAGGTTTATTCCTCATTAAGAATGTTATTACCATAGGTCCTAGACAGTTCCCTTAAGTGTCTATCATAGGGAAACTTACCTTCACGTTAATTTCTACCTCATTACATAAGGAGAGAGTGGATTACTCTCCTACACATTTTTCTTAGGCCTGGATGTGACTGGGTAATTTGAGGATTAAGGAACCCATTTAGAAAAGCAGTTTGCTTAATTTTAAAGGCATAGAGAATATGTCATCCTATAAACTGCTTTGATTTTATATAAAAATTACAATATCACAAATACATATATCTCCCGATAACTCAGTTTGTTTTTGTTCAGTGCTTGGTCTGAATTCTGCTTAATTTTTGGTAGACATACATTTGTTTGGCCTCATGTAAGAAGCACATGAAGCCATCATTTCCAAGTCATCTTTCTCACTTTCCTGAAAGCTCAGAAAATTTGCTCTGCTCCTCTAAGTAACTATTCATCTGTATTTGGCTTTTTGGAGGAGGGTTGTTGTTTGTTTGTTTTGTTTTTCTCCTGGATTCTGAAGTAGCAGATGCTAGTTTTATGATGCTAAGCTAAGGATGCTAAGGATGACAGCTCAGAGGCAAGGGTAGCTCATGGTCTTTATGTCTTATAGTCAAGCTTTCTGTGACTACTAGAGTTGGTGAACGCATCATGCTTTACCCACCTTTTGGGAACTCCCTACGGAAAGAAGATAAAAGTTCACTTGAAAACCAACCTCATGCGTGCAAATGAAGGTAAATGAACATCATCAGTACTTTGCTTCTCAGCTTCTTCAGTGTTATTGGTGGCGCACAGTTCTGCTGAATTAGTGTCAAACTGTTTGATCCACAGGACTCACTAGGAGAGCCATGTGGCACAAGGCTAATGTGGCCACCTAAGGCAGTGCTGGACTTCCCATACCCCTCAATGACAGGGCATCTTGTGAGCTATGCTAGGACACAGATCTCGGACACTAGATGGTTCATATTCCTTCATTTTTGGAGACAGAATATTACATTGTGTTATTTTCCTGAAGCCTCCAGGAAACCTTTCATTATGAGCAGGGTGAGACATGAAATTCTCTCTACTGGCCCTATAATGATCTATCCAAAGATTCTTCTATTACAATGTGAGCCCTCTGGAAACCAACCTCAACACTTTCTGAAAAACTACATTTCGCTGCTAGGCTAATGCTTCTAAACAGCCAGCCCTGTTAGCTTGAATATAATTAAAACATATACTTTACTGGTGTTTTCTCAGTGGGAAACCTAAGGACTCAGTTTTGGTATATATATCCACATCTTTTTGCCTTGTTTCGTTAAGTGTGGACACTTAACACATGCAACCCAGCGGTGAGGCTGAGACTAGTTAATGTACTATTAGATTGATACAGCTCACCTAGATGCTGTTACTTTCTCCTTTTAATTTATAGGGCTGAATAGGTACATGCTGAGAAGTCCTTTAAATATGATTCTAGAATAATAAAAACTCTAGGCCTCTGTACAACTTGGAGTCAACTACTTGCACAAATTCCTGTTAGTATGAAACATGCTCCAACATTCCACATAGACAGGGCATTTTGTTCTGTCCACACCCACCGAGACCTTCTCAGGCCACTGAATTAGGAAGAACTATGCCAGGCCTTACCAGTATGGCTTCTCTTGTGAACCATGAGCACATTGGGCCCGATGCAAACGATCCCACAGATATCACACTTTAGTTTTCCATTAGGAAGTCGAATGCCTCCAAGTCCTGACAGAGCCGAGCTGCCTTGGTCCCTGTGAGAGCCATTCATTTTCTCTCCCGAGGTATCAAGCATTCGTAAATCCTCTGCACATTCTTCCCCATTCATCTCACAGGCACGCCCATTCTCTTCATCACTCTGAGTCTCTACTTTAACATTACTGGCTGAAAGAGACAACACAGGAGGCCACTCAGTGTCATTGCAAAAAAAACTCCAGCAAAACAAAAACCAAACACAACACAACAAAGCAATACAGCAAAAAGGCAGTCAAATAGATACAGAGAGCCACTGAACAGAACTTCTGAGCCTGTCCCATGGGGAGGGCAGCCTGAACTTCCCATGTGTCCCTCTTACAGAGGGTTTGGATGGTAGCCCAAAGGATGCATCAGGGTACAGGAATATATCAGGGTACAGGAGTACAGGCAGGACCGTACTCCTTTGCAGTGGTCCAAACAGGCAATTCTGGAAATGCATGATAAGGCTGTTTATGAATGTTTACACATTAGGGTGGGACCCTCATTTTTGTAGGTCACTAGATCCACAGCCTTGTGGGATCTCAGGAGGGGTCTGGGGCTGAATCCTATTTGAATATCTGGTATTAGAAGGTCACACAGTCGACCTGAACTTGCTAGAATGTGTGAATGAAGTGGTTATCAAGTTTGAAAATACCTGCCAGACCCATAATGCTACCTTCCCTTATTTCATGTAAACATTAATGATTTTGGGACAAATCTTGCCAAATCATGCTTGGAGTTCTAACAAAAGATTTCCTTTTTTTTTTTTTTTTTTTTTTGTGCAACTGGGGTTTGAACTCTGCACCAGCCCTTTTTTGTGATGGATTTTTTTTTTTTTTTGAGATAGGGTCTCAAGAGCTATTTGCTTGGGCTGGCTTTGAACTGCAATGCTCCTGATCTCGTCTCCTGAGTAGCTGGGATTATAGGTGTGAGCCACTGGCGCCCAGCAATAGATTCCTTTTGGATTCCCTTTCAGAGTTCTGCTTCTCTGGCACAAGGTCATTTGACTTCCTTTGAATCTTAAAGTGACATTAAATCAATCCTGTGTTCTACAGTGGAAAATCCTCCTTTCCCTTTCCCCCATAAACTGTGAGCTTACAAATGGAAGAGATCAGGAAGAATCTTTCAAAGAGAAAACTGTGTATGGGGTCTTCCTTAACTGCTAGGGTTAATGAAGACAAGAGTCACTGCTTAAGCCACAAGTGTTGTAACTACACCATTTGCATGTTTGGCTTCCTTAAGAAAATATCAGCCATGTCTGTAATCCTCTCTACTTATGAGTCAGGCATCAGGAGGATCACAGTTCAAGGTGAGCTGGCAAAACGTCTGAGAGCGCCCATCTCAAGCAATAAAACTGGGCATGGTTGTGGAGCCTATCATCCCAACTAGGTGGAAAGTGCAAACAGGAGGCCACAGTTCAGGTTGGCTGGACATAAACATGAGACCCTACTCCAACAGGAAAGAAAAGAAAGGAAGGGCAAGAGAGAGAGAGAGAGAGAGAGAGAGAGAGAGAGAAAGAGAGAGAGAAGGAGGGAGGGAGGGAGGGAAGGAGGGAAGGAAGCAAGGAAAGAAAGAAAGAGAGAAAGACAGAAAGAGTGAGTTGGGTTCTAGCTTGAGTAGTAGAGCACCTGTCTAGCAAGCTCAAGACTCTGAGTTCAAACCCCAGTACCACCAAAAAAGTGTGTGGGTGGGGGGGTGGGATGGCGGGAGAGAAAGAGGGAGACAGGGAGAGAGAGGGAGGGAGAGAGAGAGAGAGAGAGAGAGAGAGCGAGAGAGAGAGAGAGATTTGTCTGCATTCTTCTTAAACACTAATGATGTACCAATGAGTCCAGCCCTATAATGACTGGGTTACACATGAAGTTATTATTTTACTCATAGCTTTCACAGACTCATAAGAGAAGGGAGGTACATTTTGCTGAGTAAAATAATCATAAGATTGCTGATAATCAAGACCACATTTTTTTGTTGTTGTTTTAGGAAAGGGTGTCATAGCCTGAGCTGGTCTGGAACTTGCTAAGTAGCCAAGGCTGCCTCCAACTCGTGATCTTCATGTCTCTACTGAGTGACGGCTGTGATCACAGGCATGTATCATTATACTGGACACAAGACTAAGTAATTTTTGGTCAACATTTTCAATCAATGATTCTCCAAGTTTGGTCCCTGGAAAACCAGCATTGGCTCCCCAGAGAACACATCAAAAGTGCAGATTCCTGGGCTCTCCGGCCCTGTCCATTTGGAGACACTGGGGTGCGTCCAGAACTCTGTTTGAATGAACCCCTTGGGACTCTAAGGTACATTCTAAATAATCAGCCTAGTTCCCAACCTTCTGAATTTATTCATCAAATTCCTCTAGATTTGAAGAGCTGGAGTCCCAGACACCAAAAACAAACTAGCTCTGTGGAATCTCAGCTCCTCTACTTAAACACACAAAGGTCTTAGGCAAGTCATGCAACCTCTATGTGCCTTGATTTCCTCAAACAGAAAAACAGGAACTATAAGAGCACTGGCCTGACAAGGTAGCTGGGAGGGTTCACTGGATTGATGGATGGGACAGTAGCTCAGGACTGGAACTGTTAAGTGGAAGCATGCTCCCCTTGGAGCCAGGCTCTGCCTAACCCAATAATGACTATGGCACAGACCTGTGCCAGGCATACAATACTTTAATGGCACTCTCACAAGAACTCTTTAAGGGAAGTGCCTTATTATCCTATTATACAGTTGAAGAACTGAGGCACAGAATGGTTAACAGTTTGCTAAGGTCATACAGTTAACAAGTGGCAGAGCTGGGAAGTCCTGAGCTAGCACACTTGCCTCCAGTATCCACATTTCTAGCCACTTTTAGGCCAGTGTTTTCCCGTTAGCTCTTTGGAAAAAAGACTTAGAGCCAAATAAGGGAATGAAATGAATGAACTAGGATATGGGCCATAGCCCCCACGGTGAATTTGAGGCCCCCAAAGTGAGGATATCCTTTGAGGCTAACTTGTGCTATCTCTTCTCATCAGAACTGTCTTGAGAAGTCCAGTGATGGAGAGTCTCCAAATGCTGGTCCCTACAAGATTCTGAAGATCCGAATCTTGCATCTCAGAGCACTTTGTATCTTTGTGGTCTCCTGCTAACCTCTCCCAGCTGCCAGACAAGAGGTCAAATTCCATTGCAAATAATGGAGATGAGGCAGGCAAGGATTTGCCATTCAGGCAATCATGCTCAATGACTGCTAAGGTCCCTCTAATCAGTATTCTGGGTATCTTTCTAGGTGGAAAGTAATTCACTACACCCTATGGCTCACCAGTGCCTACAGTCAACCTTGCTAAGGTTTGGATGCATGACTTCCAAAGTCCCATGTGTTAAAAGTTTGGCCTTCAGGGTGTTGCCATGGAGAGATGGTAAAAAAAGTGGGGGCTTGGGTCACTGAAAGTATGCCCTTGGAAAAGACTGTGGTACACCAGTCTCTCTGTGTGTCTCTGCTTCCTGGCTCATGATGTCAGTTCTATTCTGACTCTTTGCCATCTGACACTTTCACCAGAGGCCCAAAGCAATGGGGCTGCCTGATCTTGGATTGAAATCTCCAGAACTATTGAACTAAGTAATCTTTTTCTCTTTATAAGTTAATTGCCTTGAGTGTCTTATTATAATAATGCAAAGCTAAGTGTGCCTTTATAAGAAGCAGCAAGTCCTGGGTTAGCACGTTGCTTGTAGTCACAGAATGCCCTCCTCCACGCTGAGATGCAGCACAAATATCCTCAAGAGGTGCTAGCACCGTCCTCAGACTTCCAGCTTCTTTATTATTTAGATATTACCTGGTTTCCAAAATTTGTTATAGCAACAGATAAATGGACTAAGTCAAATTTGCTCTGAGGAAATACGGCAAAGCTACAAAGATCTGTGTACTCCTTAATTTAGAATTGTATTCATTCATTCATTCATTCATTCATTCATTTATTTGGAGGTAGTGGGGTTTGAACTCAGGGCCTTATGCTTGCTAGGCAGGTGCTCTACTGCTTGAGCCACTCTACCATCTGTGTTTAGTGTTGGGTATTTTCAAGATAGCGTTTTGAGAACTATTTGCTTGGGCTGGCTTTGAATCATGACCCTCCTGATCTCTGCCTCCTGAGTAGCTAGGATTACAGGCATGAACCACTGGTGCCTGGCAATTTAGGATTATTTTCAATTACCCATCTTTATGTCTTGGTTTTTTTGTTTGTTTGGTTGGTTTTTCTAGTAATTAGGGTCTGAACTTACTTGTTGCACTTGCTAGGCAGACGCTCTACCATTTGGCCTCTAGTCCTTTTTGTTATTTTTGACAAGGGGTCTTGCTTTTTTCCCAGGTCTGTCTAAACCATGATCCTTCTATTCCACTGTAGCTGGGATGACAGGCATGTGCCACCATACAGCTTTTTTCATGTTGAAATGGGGTTTTCTGAAGGCTTGTTTTTTTGCATAGGCTGGTCTCGAACCCTGATCCTTCTGATATTAGCCTCCGTATAGCTTGGGATGATATATGTGCATCACTACATCCAGCTTTTGGTTGACATGGGTCTTGCTCAATTTTTGCTCATGCTGGCCTTGAACTCTGCTCAATGGATCTGAGACTCCCAAGTAGTTAGGATTACAGGCATGAACCACAGAGCCTTGCTATTTTTTTTTAAAGTGAGACTGGAGCATTCTAGAGCCCACGTGGAGCAAATTACAGCTGATGTGGCAAGTTCTTCCTCCACAGCACTGCAGTAAGGCATATAAGCCAGGAGCAAACAAGGCTGGGAAAAAGATACCACACAGAACAAGGATTGGGATGATCCCCTTAGCATGTTCTCGACTTGGCTGGATTTCATTAATTTGCAGGTAACCAGTTAAAGAGAATTTATTCTGGCTTTTCTGAGGACACATGCATATATGACACCTAAGAACATGCCAGAAGCGACCATGTAATTATGCACTGATAAGAAAGATGAGTGTTTGTACTGTGGGGTGTTGTGGTACATGGGCACTTCCTGGAGTGGAGCAGGACAGCAAACCCATGGACAGTGACCTTTGGGCTTCTAGCATCAGGAGCAGAAGTTCTGCCATGGCAGGGTGCTTGCACAAGGAGGAAAAGCTAAGTGTCAAGAAGGAAGCAGATGAGGAAGTATAGGGGGAAAGCATGCAATGGATATTGCCTTAAATACCACACCCATCCTCAAAGACAGAAGCCTTGGTATCAATCATTAATTTGACTAGGGACAGCAGAAAATAGGATTTTGGCATTATTATCCTACACAGCAGTGCTGGTAACAGCTGTGACAGAAACAAAAGGAAAAAGAGGTTCAAAAGGCAGGAGAGATCAGTGTGGATACCCAGATACAATTTTGGGTAGTTGTAAGATGGATGTGGGTTAAGAACTATCTATCTATCTATCTATCTATCTATCTATCTATCTATCTTCTGCTTATCTATACATGCATCCATCCAACCATTGATCCATCCATCCCACTCACATCTATCTATCTATCTATCTATCTATCTATCTATCTATCTATCTATCTCTATCTATCTATCTATCTTTCCTTCCATCCATCCATTCATCCATCCATCCACCTATCTATCTGTGAGATCTATTACACAGATCTATATGATCAGCAGTTAGGAATTTTCAGCACTGGAAGAGGTTAAACTCAAAGGAGAAAATCAAAGATGCTGTGACGATGTAGGTATCTGAGAAAGAGTATGCAGACAGGATCCCTAGATTTCTGTGGGCAAAGCCAAGGACTATAAATAGTGCAAACATGGCTGAGGGCTCACATCAGCAGACACTATGCATATTTGTGCATAGGAATTCCATAGGAGCCACTGAATGTTCTAGAGTTGGAAGCTTGCCAATGAGATAAGGATGAATTCTAGGTCATGTTATGACTTGAAAAGGCAATGAAGTCTAAGAGAAGGAATGGATGATCAGTGCCAGGGGGACTGGGTGCTAAGTAAGCAAGTAGCACTATCAGTATGGTATATTCTAGGTATAAGCAGTATGTGGATTTTATCTACACAGAGGGGAAAAGTCCTCATATCTTTGTGGACAAATACAAATTGGGTGGTGGCTATGTAGAAAACCCAAGGAGTTTTCTGTTCACTCAAAGAAGCTGTTCACAAAAATGGAGGTCTCTGTCTATTAAGCTTAGTTGTGGAATTATTTCAATGAGATGCTACAATCTTGCTCAATATAAGGAATATACTTATGAATATTTTGTAAACCCCATCCCTACTCTACTTGTTAGAGCAATGATGAATTCAGTAAGATGCTGAACTGAACTGATTAAATATAGAACATGAAATGGAGGCTGAGTTTCTTTTCTCTAGAAGGCTCAGGCTCAGGACTGCCTGGAGCTCTTCCATTGACTGAGAGAGAGAGAGAGAGAGAGAGAGAGAGAGAGAGAGAGAGATAATGGACAGGAACCCAATTTTATTATTTAACAAATGTGGCTTATATTAAGAGTGAATGTTTCCAATCCTTTAGTCAAGAGCTGTTTTCCTTCCCAGATGTTATTTAAAATTAGAAAAATTAAAATCTTATCATCATGCATTATAGAGGCCTTCTATATAGTTATTAACCCCATAGTCCTAACACAGACTTCCTATTAGGAACATGGCATGGCCTTTCACATATAGGCAAGTTCAGAATCAATGAATGTGGAGAATCCAAGGAACTCTGAGGTCAACAGGAGCCAAGAGGATTGGATTCACTGCCAAGCATTATATGCACTTATGAATAATTGAACATTTTTAATGCATAGGTAAAATGTACACTGGCAATCCCCACCTTACAAATGGACTATGTTTCCTCTTCATTTTCATTTCCTTTCTAGAATGTGCCCTCAGATTTACTGGAAAAGTAAATTTTTGGTATGCAGAAATGTACTTTTCCATTGAAAAAAAAATTCTGAAGATCATTACTCCAGTATGAGTTTAGACCATGTAAGACCTAAATGCTCAAAATTTTAAATGTAAAAGAGAAATAACCTTGCAGAACCAGTAACTAGTAACTAGAAATAAAATGGATAATACTTATGATGTATCTTGACATTTTCTATGATAATTAAATGAAAATTTGAGATGAAAGATATATGTACATATACACAATATATACATATATATGCTTTTGTGTTGCTTCTAAAAGAGATTTGTGCTGTTTTAAGCACTTTAAAGATCAATAGAACAATGTATTTAACATACTATCACTTAAAATATAGGATTGCTAGCCTGTCAAGGTACGTTACTAGAAATACTCTTCTTTTTCCATGTTTAGGCCTTTAAATGGAATGAAGTCAGGGAGAAAGAAGATAGGGAAAAGAAAGAAAAGTAAAAAATATAAAAAGTACCAGTTGCAAGCACAATATACATTGTCTCCTGGTATCCAGGGACACAAACTGGAATAAAGATGGTAGAGGAGGTCAAAGAGGTTATGTTAATTTTATTTCAAGAATAAAGAAGTGTCTAGGGGCATGGAGGACAATTTCTTCACTATGACCACGAGGTGGCAATATTAGCCAAGAACAGTTTGGTTGCTGCTGGGTGGGGACTTCGAGAAACAACAGGATATTTACAATTTGAGGATATTGGAGGGTGGGGGAGAAGAGAAAGAGAGACAGAGAGAGAGAGAATAACGTTTTATAAATACATTTGTATACATATATAGATATGAAGTATATAAATACATTTCATGTTTCATAAAGCTCCCAGTATCTTGTATCCTATATGTCCACATGCAGCAATTTGCATCCTTCAGGGCTCACCAAAAGATATGTTTGAACATTGCTATATAATTAGGCTTGAACCTTCCTCGGATTTAGTGAACATGTCTTCGGGATGTATTATTTTACTCTTAAGTGCATTTGACTTCTCAAAACATTTCAATGTTTGACTAATCATCTCAAAATTCATATGAGCTTCTTCTCAGGGCACCGTGATTTTCATACAAGCACATACATGTATTCACATGCACAGACATTTATATTTGCATACAGACATATATCATAAAAGTAAAGAGCGTGCTATTATTTCAAAGTTGAATGAAAAGAATAGTAGCAAGAGAAAGATTTCTATAGACTTCTGTATCCTGGAAAAGCAAATTCAGTGTGTGAGAAAAAGTCTACCTAGACTGATAGTGCTAGATCCTTTACATATGTTTTGATAACCAGGATGTCAGAAATCTATTTTTTAACTGGTAGGGACAATCTCTTACATTTGAACTTGTATTTGCAATTGCTACAATATTAATAAGCTAGGTGGAGGGTGTAGTTCAGTGGAGAGCACTTGCCTAGCATGTGTGAGGCTCTGGGCTCAACCCCAGCACCACAAAAACAAAAACAATAAACCCCCAATATTAACAAGCGCAACCTGTTTTTTTGGTATTCCTTTATAATATTAGAGAATTTACTGTAGGCGCTGAAGACTGAAATTCTAAGCATGCTATCAACGTGTAACACTTTAATAATCAGTTCTCTGTACATTTAAAAGGGTGTTTTCTATTCTTTAAAATATTCTCTTAAGGATGTTGCCCAAATATATTTATCACTTAAAATCTGCCAATACCTAAAAAAGAAAAGTGAAATTAACATCTGGTTTTGGTTTAATAGCTCAGAGTAGAGCTGCCAGTGGGGCATAAGAATGTGATTGTTCAAGCAGCAAGGTACCCCTGAAGGATGGCCTGGAAGCCCGTGAGTTTTCTCAGTTCTGCAATGAACACTCCAAGCAAGAGAAAGAGAGTATGTCTTCTCTTCCTGTCTGGCAAAATTGCAAAAATAATCTTGAGAACATGCTGGGTTGTTTCATGGTGATGGGAATTATGGACCAGCAAGATACAATCATGACATTAATCACAACACTCCCTACTGTCCCCCTCTCATTCTCCCCTAGCACATCTCACAACTATCACCACCTTACTTCTTTGCTGCATAAATGATGCCCTGATGGTGAGCGTTTAATGAATATAATGGTACATATTTAATTTATCTCATTTTTTTCAAGTATAAAGAAAGATGTTGATGACACAACATGCAGTTCAGAGTATTCACACAATGGCATCTAAGTATGAAATGAACACACGTTTCTGTTTTCTAAAGCAAAGCATATACTTACGAGAGAAAGATTTGGGAATTATTGCATGAAAATCCCTAAAGCCATCAGCCCCATATGTAACTGCAACAAAGAAGGCAAAAAAGAAAGCTGGGTTGTAATACCATCAAAGATACAGTAAGAGTTTAAAAGACAGTGTTATTATTTTTTAAAATACATTACTACTTAAAATCATTGACTATCTACAAATCTGCCATATCTGGTCATCATATATATATAGGCAACACTTGGCTCAGGCCTTCGGTCCCCAAGGGTTCCCAGCTCAAGCATCAAATCACAAAGAATAGTTGAGGACAAGCTCGGAATCTCTTGGAGGTGACAACTCAAAACATTCAAGAACTGTGAGTAACCTTAGCAGTAGTTGTCCAAGACCTTTGCTTCATCGGCCTCAGTATCTAATGGGAGAGTACACTGCTTCACAAAAGCAGTATGATTTTTTTTTCAAAGGTGGATTTCATTGCATGTTTTTTGTTTAGCTTTTTCTTAGAAAGTGTTCACAGAAAATTAGAAATTTCCCATGCAACACATTGAGTGGGGAAAAATTGTTGCTTTCCTCATACCTTAAAAAAGTGCCACCAATTTCTCTGGGTAGCCTGTGTCAGCCCCTTGTACAAATGGTACTGCCACCTCAACTCTTTAAGCTCTTATTTTGTTTCATAGGGCAGAGTGCCCAGTGGGTTCCTATGTTTTAAGACTTGGTACATTTTGCACACACCTGGTTTTCTCTCTAAAAGTCCACATGACTATTAAAAGTCTGTGTACAATACAGTTGCTAAATTAAACTTCTTGGACCAACTACTACTGAATTAGCAGAAAAAAGACTCTGAAGTGATCTTCAGGAAATAGACATATTTACTGATCATTACTTAAACCAATGTTTTCCAAACTTATTTGACCACAGCCCATACCTCTTCCCCCCATGAAAAACTTAATAAAATGTTTGGGATAGTTGAAGAGATACTTCCAAATCAACTTCTTGGGGTGACTGGTTTAATTACTGCCTAACAAACCTTTGCTCTTCTTGTATTTATTTTATTCCCTGATGGTTCAAAGTTTCTGGATAAAGTCAAAATCATGTATCCGATTACACTGAACTACCATAAATTGGTTTGCCTAGATAGGGATGTGTTTAATGGCTTACAAACAGCCGATAACATAATGCAAATTTTATTGTAAACTTTTCTATTCTTGTCACCTTTGTTGAGCTCCAAAACTTAAACTTTTCAACCCCAGTTGTTGTGTATCATGGGGGAGCTATCGTCTTAGATAATGGGAGAAAAGGCAAATGTGTTTTAAAGAGTAAATATTACTTTTTAAAATTGAGGACATTATATAGGTGAAGAAGTATAACAGTCTTAATTAGATCACATAGTGCTGAGATGCTGCCAGCAGTGACGATAATGTTGATAAGTTGCTTGAACATGACTCGATCAGCAAGATAACTTCCTAACATATCCATTCAGCTGCACAGTCACAGCTCAGCCACCTGCTATATGCACACTAATGGAAAATAAAACGGTGGTGTAGAGGGGTATTCATGGTTACTGGTAAACTAAGGAGTAAAGAAGCTGAGAGGTTGAGATTGCATATATTTTGTCTACCATTAGAAAATGTAGACTTGTGTAGTCTTGGGCCGCTCAAGTGTAAGGCTTGAAATATGTAATTTTTTCAGAACCCTTTCCATTGTGGACACTACTGCTTAGTATAAGGACTATGACATTGCATTGCTAGACATTCATTGTTAACCACCTTTCAAGAGAATCGGTTCTTTGCCTAGTGTAATCCAAATTGGCCTGCTAGGCTCAGAAACACAAAGGCCACATGTTTTCTCTCATACATGGAAGACAAATCTAAAAGATAAACATATACACTAAAACAATCATGATCATATACAAATCATATGTAGAACATTTGTAATAGGGGATCTTCTCTATGGAACTCAGGGGGAGGAGGGAAAGGAAAAGAGAATGGCAGAGCATCAACAATATTGTAAAACATCACATCTGTGCAAGTAGAGGATATAAGGATGTGTATTGAAAGCTGTTGAGTGTGAGGGAAGGGGTAATGGAGAGCAATGGAAGGGGTTGAATGGACCAAAGTAAAGTAGACTTACAATGGGGACACATGAGAAACCCCTCTGAACGCTAACTTAAATATTAAGAATGAAAGACAGGACTGTAAAATAAGTACAATGTGTGTGGGGGGCATTAGTGAGTGGGGGGAAGGTGAATGAAGGAGGTTAAGGTGAAGGAATATGGTGGATGGACTTCATATACTTCTATGAAATAGAACAAAGAAATCTCTTGCAGTTGCTTTAAGTGGAGCAGGGAGTGGATTGAACGGGAGAGATGATGGGGGCAATGTAACCAGTGTACAATATAAGTCTAACTGGAATTGTTGCTATGAATCCCTTCCATAACGAATATATCCTAATAAAAAACCCCAAACAAATTAGCCTACTAAATTTTGTCCTAAAATATGATTCCTTATAAATTACAAGAAGTTTAAAATCACAACACAGCTGTACCTATCAAGTTCTACTCCCACATAGCAAAGTGAATCAATTAGTGCACACTCTTGTTCATGTACCACTCATATTTGTGCACACGACCTTTGAGTCCAGAAAAGGGCATGTATGGTGTTCTACCTTGCCAGATTATGATGCAAATAACAAAATTTTGATCGAGGCTGAAGTCCAGTCTATTGTGCTAGCCACTCAGTGGGAGTTTTACAAATGCCAGGTGCCTTACAAAGCACTTTCCAGAAACTATTTTAATCCTCACCATTGGCCTAGGAGGTTGGTACCATCACCACTGTAGTATTAAGGATTCTGGGACTCAAGAATTTTCGGGAATTTGCCATCTTGGTTAGCATGTAGATATGCAAACTTAAGACTGCATCTAGTTGATATATGACAGTCAGTATTCAAACCATACATTCTTCCATGCAGCCTTCCCGGGTGGCAGAGGGTTTTTGCAAGCTGTGTCTGTGATGTATGAGAGGCACTAGAGAGAATGGAAGTTACTAGAACTGTGCACGTGTGTACACTTAGTGTATGTGCACACACATACACTCACCTGCACATGGGCACCGGAGTAACAATGCATTTCCCAATAGAGTCTCCCAATGAACAGATGGTCAATCAATGATTTGGAGGGTGTGGCCCATACAGCCTTCCTAGTTCCCCTGGGTGAACCTGGCATTCCTTACATATACCCAGGATGGGGGCCTGAATAAGACATGGACGTGAGCATCCTCAGAGGTACTGAGAGCACCTTGTGCTGGTCCCCAGTGACTGTGCTATCTAACAATGACCTCAGGTTTGTTTCCAGCAAGCTGTGACACAGGCCCCAGGCACCCGCTGCTCACTCTTTTCAAGAGATCTGCATCTGCAGGCTAGCTCTGCCTGCCACCACGGTCCTGTTTGAAAGTCTAAATTGCATTGCAAATCCACCATAAGAAGTAGTCTCTGTGGGTGGGACCCGGGAAGCTATTCAGCTATTGAGCTATTCACTCCAGTCTGGCCCTCATTTCTTAAGTAAATTCCACTCCCAAATTTCAAGCCATTGTTTTATAAAAGAGCACAGAGAGCAAAATGCATTGAATCTTTTCCTAAGTCCTCTAAAATTCACAAAACATATTCTTTTTTATTTATTTATTTTTATTATTTTATCCTTTATTATTTATTATTTTATCCCTTGTTTGGGCCTCCCCCGTAAGCACATTCTTCTTATCAAGAGTAAATTTAAGTCATTTTGCTAGGAATTTCTATCCCCAAATGTCTGGTGAACACTGTCATATAAAATGCTGACCACACCTCAAGTTATAAGTCCTATTCGCACTGCCAAATGATGAGTATTAAGGGAAAAAAAAGATGATATGCCTATAAACCACACTTTTTGGGTTGCATTTGATTGTGTGAGGCTGAGACGTATTTGAGATATTCAAAATGAGAGAAAGAAATCTGCTCCACTTTCAGGTCTAAAAAGGACAGTTACAATTTTCCATAGAAGGCAAATAATTTAGATTTGTATTTAGCTGAATTTAGAAATCTACTGTATTTTGACTTTCATAGAAACAGTTAAGCCATCAATCTTTTATTAACTTGCCTGTATGGTTTGCAGTGACCTTGGTAATGGCTACAGATCTAGCACTTAATGGCAGGGCAGCCTATACCCATGGCTGAGCTAGTAAGTTATGAGACTAGGGTTGTAAAGGAAAGTCAGAGATGAAACATCCAGGGCCATGTTTCTGCTGCAGTACTGGCCATGGATAGGGGTCCAATTGGATGGTATTAGTCCTTCCATACCTAGACATTTCATGGATGGATATGTTCATTCTTAAACCATTTCACACAGAAGAACACTAGCTATCTACCATTCACTCCCTGTTTACTAATAGACGGTACTGTTGTTTCAGCCTTGTAGAAGGGGTGGCTACAATACAAACAAGTTCAATGCTCTGTCTATGAATGTGGAACTGACTATCATCATATGAAGTTTCACACCTGTGCTGAGTGGCTTCTCAGGTGCCCCTCCAACTACATGCCCAGTTGCAGGGCCAGGGTGGCTTGGTGGCTGTCAGGTGTCCTCTTCCCTCCACCAGCTCCTTTTGTTCAGGCTTTAAGGAGTCCTATACAGCCTTGCATGCTGCATGGCCCTAGCATAGCCAATGGCCATGTAAAAGGTGGGAATGGAAGGCAAGCAGAACTGTGCCCAGGACCCTGGTGGTGCGATTCATCTAGGTTCTATCCTGCCTTTCGTTCCTTCTTCCCTCCAGACTCCAGATGGGCACACTCCTCTCCAAACTCACCTCCTTTCCCAGGCCCAGACTCTTTCCTGTATTCCCACATGGAATCTCCCCATTCCAACCCAACTAGGGCTCACCTCTACCTTGCCACAGTCACATTATCTCAGTTCCCTTACTGTTCATTTCCCTTCCTGTTCTCCAATCACATCACATCCATGAAGCTACTTCCATCATCCAGTGAAGGCTACAGCCACTTTCTACCTGTGCTTCCTGCCATCATCAGTCTCATGGGCTGCCAGGGACATGCATCATGTGCTCTGGCCTTCAGGTTCTCTTCCCAATCTCTTTGCCCACTGGACTCAGATTGTCATCCTCAATTCTGCTCTGATCAGGCCACATCTAACTTCTACATCTACCACCAGTCTGCATTGTTGTGATGAGTTAAGAATCTCAAATCCTGTGTCCAAGTCCCTCTGCAACCAGCAACCAATGTCAATAATACTGATCAGAGAACTGAGGGGATAAATCTTAGGGAAAAACACTAAAAAACACCAATGATAACCTCACTCACTACCCTCTCATTTGTAAAGACCCTACAGTTTCCACTTTGCTATGCATGTACTTATTTCACAGTTAAACCTCAGTCTCAATTTGAATGTGTCCTCCTGGCCCAAGTAGCTCTCTAGGTCTTGGACAAAGGATGTTAGGATCATCAATGCTAGCTTACTCCCCTTGTCCAGCTTCTCATGTTTTCTGCCCTCACTTGATGATAGTCTGCAGGATCTGTTTCATACTCCCAATCTCAGGACGCCTTTTCAGAGTTGTCCCACTCTCTTGGTGATGATGGCCTGGCTATCTCCATTAGAGCCTCTCTGGGAAAAAAATTCAGTTTTGGAAGTTAATGTGGTCCCTAGTCTACTGTGTACTCAAATAGAGACCATGACACACCAGCGTGTGGCTTTCCCTCTTCCCAGTTGCTCTCTGGCATCACGCACAGGACAGACAGGTGATTTTTACTTGCTACTAAATTAGTAAGTGTCTTTCTATTACTTTCTGATGATAAACATTTTCAGGAATCTACTTCCATTAAATGAGAAGTTGCAGAGTATGTCAATGAGAGAGCATTAGATTTCCCATGGCGGTTACTACACGATGCATGTAGACCAATTTATGACAGGGAAAATCAACCTTACCATTACATTATTTTCATTCAGTGTTGTATGTGAAGTGTATGAACTGGATCTCAGTTCAACTGGGTCCTCTGGCTTCCTTTGGCCTGTGGCCACACACATGCTGGATGTTTCTGAACCTGGATATTCATAAGTCAGCAGGTGACAATGGTGGCCATCACCTCATGGAAGGATGAAGCTGTTAG